GTCCTGTCCGCCATGGCCTGTCTCATGGAACGGACAAAGACTCAACAGCCGTCCTGTCTCACAGATCAGTGGATCGTCGGTCTATGAACCCTAGACCCTAAACCCTGGACCGACTTGCACTTCTGACACGAATGCTTCTGTTCGAGCCCAGAAATCATGATGGCCGCCACCCCCGTTCGGCTTCTCTTGCCAAACGTTACACGGCCAACCCTACGCACCCGAGTGCGGCTGGCAATTTCGTTTCTGCTTTGAGCCTTTGAGGGGCAGTGGAGGCCTGCTGGCGCGTAATTGGAGTCAGGTGTTGCAGCATCTCTGTCGGCGTCATCTGCGAGTCAGCCCATCTCGGTCAAGTTCGAGGGCTCTGAGGACACTCTGACCATATCGGAGGCCGTGCCGCAGCAATACACCTTCTTCCAAGCCGTAAGGAACCGAGAAACACACTGCATGTGCTGCAGTTGCTGGACGGCGGTTTCCAGCAGTCGGCTGAGCGCACAGTGCTGCCGGGTGCTGCAGACGAGGAATGACATGCTGAGAAGTGTCACGCGAGAGGTACCGATTGCGCGCTGCCGTCTTTCCCTTGTCGCATGTGTGCAAGAATCTGTTGGACTGCTTGTCGGCGTTGGACTTCCTCAATTGGTGGCACGATGACCAGGACCTCTGCCGAGCGATGCTCAAAATGGCATGTCTGTCTGTCTGTCTGTCTGTGTGTGTGCGTTCAGGGCTGACCGCAACAAGGCCGTGGAGGAGGGCAAGAAGGAACGACAGGTAGGTAGACTCGCAGACACAAAAAGCAACCCGGCAGCCAGGCAGCCAGTGTGCTCACCTGTATGGGTGCCTGTCTGTCTGTGTGGTGTTCTTTTCACCGTTCAGGAGCAGCGTGCCGAGAACATCGCCAACTATCGCGGCAAGAGGAAGGGGGCCAAGGGCAAGGCAGACGCCCAGCACAAGACCGACTGACTGATTGGCTGATTCATGTGATGTGTATACGTATGCGTCATGAGACTTAGGTGCGCCGGTTTGGGGTCTTGTGTATTTGTCCATGTCAAACTTTGGCTTGTACGTCTTCTGCGCATCCCTCGAAACCGTTTGGTTGCACGCAACTTGGCGCAGTGAAGAATGTTCTCGGCACATGACGAACGCAGAAGTCTCACCGTAGCACCGACTGTAGACACTCACGCCATGTCTGTCGCTTCATTCCACGCACCCGGTGTTCATCTATGCCCATGAGTGGAAATGTCGCTTTTGTCATGCAATCTGGCTGAGCCGTGCCTCGTCGACATAGTAGCCCTCTTTCCTCGCCCGGCCCCACTGTGTCATTGCCTCCCGACCTCACGGGGGGCCGCGATGCAGTGGAGCCCGCTGAAGAGACCTACCATGTCAACGAGAACCTGCCTGTACACGCACACCGCATCCAAGTCTTATCGCCCATCGATTGATCGATATAGGTTTCTGCACATAGCCTGCCTGTGGTGTCTGTCAGTCAATGGCAATGCATACATGCACACGTCGACTAGTGCAAGGTGGTGGAGTGAGTGGAGTGAGTGAGGTGGTGGACCTGTACACTGCTTTGCGTCTCACTCAGACCACTGGTGTGCGTGTGTTCGTGTCACGGAAAAAGACCTGACTGTTCGCTCGGTCGTCCGTCAACAACACATAGCACTAGTATAATGTCTCTGCCTGTACATCATCGTTGAGCCCCATCCCAGCTCCCGAAAAACACCGTTTTTGTACCTGAAACACCTTTCAGCCCGCTCGCTACAGCTCTCTACTCATACACAGGTGATCCGATACACAGCCACAGAAATGTAGAGATACAAAACGTAGGTAACCCCTGTGGACGAATTACACAAATGCAAGTTATGCAAGTTGATTGATTGGTGGCTCACACACAGGCCACCGATATGAATGCCATGCCAACCAAAACATGGGAAAGACACTCGCGACCAACAGGCGGGTGTATCGTATCGACCCATTTACGAGCATACGATGGATACCTACCTATTCGGTATATACATAGACCAGCAGAAAACACGTACACACGTACACACGTACATACATGTCTGCCTGTACATGTATGCTATATGTATGCTATATGTATGCTATATGTATGCTATATGTATGCTATGCGGTGTCCAGAAAAAGGGAAAAAGCGATAAAACCGATGGATGACCTTCCTGCCTTAATGATCATTGTGATTGAGAGTACATACGATATGGAACGAGCATGGGAGACACTCGTCTGACCGTCCGTACACACGGCACCAAACGCATACGGCCGTGCATTGCAGCCTTGGTCAGTGCGCATGGACGTGTGTGAAGGGCAGACAGGCCTCAAACACGACGCTCAGTTGTACGCAGAGAGAGTGAGTGTGCTATACATGCGGTACGAACAGCCTATCACATTAACACGTCCATGCACCAAGCCCTCAGCATATCATCAGCTTCAGTCAGCAGATCAGCAGGAAGGACAGCACTCCGATGACCAACATGAAGACCGCCATCGAGCCAGCCACGGCCGGCGCAGCGCCGCTCGAAGGGCTCTCCTCGCTTTCATCTACCGACAGCTTTTGAGACTTGGGCGTCACTGCAAACATCCATCCATCCACAGACAGGCAGAGACACATCACATCAGATGTCTCCCCCTCACCCCCCGTGTCTGTGTCTGTCCGTACCAGCAGCACACATGCTCTGCAGCGATGCCTCCGCTTTGTGGTCTTGGTGTCTCATGGCGTCGCTGGAGAAGAGCGCACCCGAGTACAGCCAATAAGGCGGCACCGCACGAGAACGAGACCGTGATGATCTGGTGGAGTTGCTGCCGCTCGACGAGGATGAGACCGACAGCGCGCCGACCTCATGCTTGGAGCATCCCTTGGGGCCGCAATGCAGGTACGGGTCGATCGCTGATGCCACACGTGGGCAGACGAACAAGCATCCCACACACATGTCTGTCATGTTCAGGAGGTTTGTTGTGGCTCGTGTCTGGCTCACGTTGGCAGATGAAGTGTCCCTCCTCGTGTGGCATGGGTACGAAGCCCTCGTCGCACTGACACGTCCACCCGTCATCCGTGTGGACACAGCTCGAACCATGGCCGCAGTGATCGCACTCGCCAGGGGCTGACATAGTTATAGACACACAGATGGATGGAGGAAGGGGGCGCGTGTGTCTCGTGTACTGTGTTATGCTTACGTGTGCATCGTCGCCCGTCGCCGACGTATCCGTATTTGCACACACACTCGAAGCTGCCGCTCGGGCCCGGCATGCACTCGGCGTTCTCGTCACAGTCACCACACCCTTGCGGACCTGAAACATAACACATCGAACAGCATGGACCGAAGAACCGCTGATGCATGCATCCCCCCGCCCCTCTCCCCCCACCCCTCCCTGTGCCCGTGTGCGTACGGCTGCAAGTGAGTCCGGTGCCGGTGTATCCGAAGTTACACCTGCACTGGTAGTCGGGGATCGGCATCGGCACGCCCTTGCCCTTCTTGGCTCGCTTCTGGATCCGCTTCTGCAGCTTCTTGAGCTGCAAAGGCTTCAGCATCCCGATCCGCGTCGCCACGCGATTCACGTCCACACACGCAGCATTAGGGCTGCACACCTGCGCGCCGCACTGGATCTCCGCCCCGTGCATCATCTTGCCTCCCATCTTGCCACCCATCTTGCCCCCGCCGCCCATCTTGCCCCCTCCCATCTTGCCGCCACCAATGCCGCCCCCTCCGAGCTGCTTGCGCATCTTCTTGGCCGTCTTCTTGTCCACCTCGGGCATCTGCTTCATCGGGGGAGGGGGTGGGGGAGTCGGTTCGGGGGCGGGCATCTTGTCGACCACGGGCTCGGGTGCCGGCATCTTCTTGCCGTCCATCGGGGGTGGTGCTGGCTCCTTTGATGGTGGGGGAGGGGGCACGTGGTCTTCCTTCTTGCCGGTCGGTGGCGGGGGTGGTGGGGCCTCGCCCTCCTTTTTGCCCATCCCCTCGCCGCCATAGGTCGTGTCGCCCACACTGTAGTAGCCAGGAGGGATGTCGTACACCAGCTCGCCACCGTGTTCATGCTCATGGTCGATATGCTCATGGTGCTGCGACGGGTAGTGGACACTGTGGTCGTGGGGCATGGGCGGCGCGGGCGCCTCGTGGGCATATGGCGCGGGCATCGCTTCATGAGTGGGGGGAGGGGGAGAGGGAGCAGCATGCTCCGGCTTGGCGGCTGGTGGTGGCGGGGCTGCCGTGTCCTCTGGCTTCTTGGCTGGGTCTGCTGGGGGCGCGGGTGGGGGTGGGGCGGGGGCGCCACCATTGGGTGGGAGGAGGCCCTTCTTCTCTGGGTCTGCTTGCAGGGCTGAGACATCAGGTTCGCTGTCACTGCTGTTGGTCGATGAAGCCGCGTTGGTCGGTGAGGGGCTGGCACCAGTGGTGACGGATGCGCTGAAGGCAAAACACACAGAGGACACACACGTGTAAGGATGAAAGTGTGCGTGAAGGTGCGTGTAGACACCTTGTGGTCTCACTCACCTCATGTTGAGGTCATCGATGTCTCGTTCGCCGACCCACACGCCCTTGAGCACATCCAAGTCGTGCGAATCCACACCCACACGCCCACCCCCATCAAACCGCCCAACGGACGACATCCGCACCATGCCGTCTTCACCCGTCTCGGCGATGGCCAGCACCTCCCCGGACGGGAGCCCCACCCTGTCGTTGGTCTCTGTGAAGGCGACGTCGCCCGACAGCCCCTTGAAGCGAATCTGCTGCAGGGTGTCCCGCATGGTCTCGCCGTGCAGTTGAGGCTGCCGTGACGCCTCTCGTGCTGTGGTGCGGATGTGGGCGGCCGCGAGCAGCACGGCTGTGACGGAGTCGAAAGCACGTCCGGACGCACCGAGGAACACGTCAGGATCCACGCCTGAAAACCGACAAGAGAAGGCCATGGGACTTTCTCTCTTCCCCATGCAAGGATGCATACCTTTGTCGAAGAGTCCGTCGACGTCGTCGACGTCGAGTAGCGCCGCCAGCCCCCGGAGCCAGGTCTGTGCCTCAGTGGGGAAGTCGTCAGGCGTGAGAGTGCTCCAGAAGTCGGTGAAGTCCCTCCACATGGTGGACCGCTCGTCGTGTGCAATGACCAGGCTGCCGATGTAGTCGGAGAGGTCTGGGAGCGAGGGCATCACGGTGATGAACTGCGGGGGGAAGACCCATGTGGTGTTGGGCGAGGTCAGGCCGATGGATGGGGGCAGGGCCAGGAAGGGCTCCCATGACGAGGGGTTGTCGAGGTAGGGGAAGAAGGCAGTCATGAGGGTGTCGGAGCCCTTGGCGCGAGACAGATGCTGCTCCCTGCACAACAAGACCACAGACACATGAGGAACACACTTCGCGGCTGTCTGCCTTTTACCATTTCTCGATGAGGTCGTCTGAGGGTTCGTCTTGGTTGCCGATGAGTGGCGGCAGGTCGATGGTGTCGACAGTGATGTTCTGCGCGCTGAGGCACAGGACCTGGAAGCGCTGCTGCGTCTTGCCCGCACCGATGGCCGGGTTGATGAAAACCACACGCTCCGCACCGATGGCCTCAACAAGACTGCACCAACCATGGGGACAGATAAAGGAGAGAGAATGAGCTGGGACTGGGAGTGAACGTTCCTCTGTGTGTGGCTGTGTGGGCGTGGGTGTGGGGGGAGGTGTTGTGTACCCGCGCAGGAGTCGGCATCGCTCTCCTGTGCTCTGTGTGCCGGGAACGGTCCTGCAACACCAACACATAGGCACACGACACGTGCATGCAGCAGTCAAGAGACAAGCTTTGCTTTCTCCGATGTGCACACGCACCTGAACAGGTACGGGAATGTGGCAGTGGTGTTGGTGAGTGTGGGGAAGTTGCTGTAGTATGGGAGTGGGTTGGAGCGGTCGATGGCCGTGGACAGGTCGGTGATCTGCACACCCTGCATGAGGGTGCCCAGGGACGCAACAGCTACGGTGTTGGACGAACGGTGGCAGCAAACAACCGCAGACACTGACAACCACACGCAACACACAGAGGCCATCACGTACATGCATGCACGACACTATCTCCCCCCTCCCCCGCACTCACCTTTGGGCATGTCCTCATCGAAGCGCGACCCCACAAAGTGTCTCGTGGCGAAGTCGACGGCCGTCTTGCTCTCGCCCCTCAGATCCTCCAACACCAAGTCGACAGCCAGACCGGCCCGTGCTGCCGGAGGGGCGGGGATGAGAGGGCTTTCGCGCTCCCACGCAAGCTTGGCCGTCCACGCAAGCAGAGGGAAGGACCAGAAGCCCTCGAAATCGCCTCCGTACGCGATGGTCACGGTGATGTTGGCTGGCTGACACGACGCCCGGAGAGCGAGACAGGCGAGCACGAAGAGCAGTCTGCTGGCCATGGGTGCGATGTGAGGGCAGCTGCTGATGGGAGGAGACCTGCTTGGGCCGAACGACGCTTCAGAAAAACGGAGGGAGAGGAAGAGGGAAGCAAATGCGATGTCCTTGCCGAGGTGCGATGGGGGAGGGGAGGGTCAAGGACTCATGCAAGGGGGACCCGCTGGCCTCCTGCGATGTGTGGCGAAGACAAACACAGCCGGATGCAGCTGGAAAATGTGTCCCGTACGCAGCCCGTTTGAGAGATCGCTACGAAACCCTAGAGTGCGCGTACACAGTCTCGACCTGCATGCACTTTCCCCCTTGTTATCGCCTTCCCCTCTTGTCTTCCTGCGGACTGGAATCGTCGTCAAGACAATGGCGTGACGGTACGTGAAGACCGGCTCCGGCGCGGCCAGCTCGTTTTTTCGGCCGCTCATCTGGGCCGTCATCTGCGTTGCTTCTCTGAGCGCTCTCTTCTGTGTGGTGTCTGTCGCGGTTTGTCAGCCGAGCATACCTTCTCCAACAGCCGACCAGTCTGTTCTGTAATTAGCTGCCCCGAGCGAGGAGCGAACAGCACTTGCCAATGGGCAGACATGCATATGGGAGCGACGAGCGAGAGGGCCTCGTCCGTGCGACCACACTGCCCATCCGCCTGCTCATGAGATACCTCAAGAGGGTCGTCCGCAGGCAGCGGCGCGGGAGGTGAGGATAGGAGAATGATTGCGGGCGGTCAAGAAGACTATGTGAGAGGGGGAGGGCCGGGGGGTGGAGAGGGAGGTGCATGTCGGACTGCTCAGTGCATGAATGGTGCATACTTTGTTCTTTGTATTGTACAGCAGCGGTTTTCTCTCTTGTGTCATGCATGGGCCACGCAGTGAAGTGTCAGAAAACGAACGTCCTTGTCTTTTCTCTCTGTCATGGCACTTGTGTGTGTATGGCTGACACATCCCAGCTACACGTGCGTGAATGCGTTTGTGCGTATGGCAGGCAGGCAGGCAGGCAGGCAGGGAGGGAGGGAGGACGGTGCAAAGCATCCTTATATGATGCACGGCACGCTCTTCTACTGGAAGGAAGACGACGCAAACCAGGCAGGAAGGCAGAGAGTCCGGGGATCAGCAGGTGTTTTGTACATGTATGCATGGACAGTCAGTGCCTCACGGCCGTGTGGACACAGGGAGCTATGGATGGTCGTACACGTGCTTCCATGTAGGCCATCCATAGCTCCCCCTTGCGCCACGCACGTGAGGCACAGACGTCTGCGATATGTCGCCATATACACGAGTGGACTCAGTGGCATACGTCAAAGGTCCGCACGAAGTGAAGGTCGGATACCAAGTGTGATATCAATCAACAGCACATACATGTATAGATCAGTGTGTCACACATCTCTCTCCCCCTCTCTCCCGAGCAAACACGCAATGCACATCATCTCTGGCATCAGCGTCATGGCCGTCCCCGGACGCACAAGGTGCGCCAATTCACTCGACAGCTGACTGGCGCACCATCCGCCACCAGCCAAAGACACCAACAAACATGGACCATCGACTGAAGATACGTGTCTGTGCCGGTTCCTCACCTCCACGATACGCCAAACAGCAGGCGGGGCCTGGCACCGGTGCCGTCTGCAACAGACACAGAGTGCACAATGGGCGCTGTGCAGATCTTCGTGTGCACTTCAGCCCTCACCTGTGCAGTCATCGCTGCGCTCATGATGGCCAGGTCTCGCGAAGCGCGGTGTGCCGGGCTGAGCTCTCTGCTGCGTTGCCGTTCAGCTGGGCTGCGTTGCGCGACGCCTCATGAGTGGGTGGATCTTCGTCGGTTCGCATCGGCGAAAGGGCTACTTTTCCGCATCATGCACATATAAAGTGAGGTCTAGGGAAGAGCAGATGTCGCTTTGGCGTAGTTGGGAGCGCGTCAGACTGAAGATCTGAAGGTCCCGTGTTCGATCCACGGAGGCGACACTTGTGGCGACATTTTGCCCTGCTGACTTGCCACCTGCTCTCTCCATCGCGTTGCCGTCGTAAGATCCACCTCGGTTCATCGCTTCCGCAGCATGCCATTGCGCTGATCTTCGCGGTTTCATCCAGCAGCGCTAGAGATGTTGGTAGCGGCGGGTGCGCCGCGCCCTCGTGCGCTTCTATTCATCGTGTGGTGGCGGAGCCTGGCTTTCTTGACGCTTGTGGATGTCGCTGCTGGCGAGGGCATGGCGATGGCAGCGAGTCAGCTGTCCTATCCGCTCCACCACGGGTGGCAACATCACAGCAGCTATCACAACCAACACGACCACTGTGCGAAGTTGCATGCCGTCGACATCGTGGGACAGGATGGCAACACTTACATGTACGCAAGGATGGCAGAGTTGGGCGTGTCCTCTCCAATCAAGGTTCTGCGTCTGTGTGTGGATGTGATGTCTGCAGGTGGGATCTGTCTTTGTTGGCGCCGTCGAGCACACCGGACTTTTCGTGTGAGCGCCAGAGCTATCGCTACGTGATGAACATGTGCAGACCCGTCCACCAGAAATGCAATGGAAAGGTCGGTCAGCGAAGAGAGGGGGAGAAAGCACCGATGGTTGATGTCACTGCTCGCCGCACGTGTGTGTCGTCTGTCTGCAGGATGGGACGGTGAACCAGTTCCTGATCAATCCGCTGACGGAGGCGATGGGTGCGGTGGGCATTGTGCAGCAGACATGCCAGGCCGTACTCGTCAAGACCGAAGACGCAGGCACCACACAGCTCATCGGTGGGTGCGGGGTTCAAATACCACAGCACCTGCCCCGCACACCAGATCTCTCTCCCTCTCCGTGCATCTGTGTGTATCAGATCCGTATGATCCGCTCAAGGGCATTCGTATGGAATACAGCAGCGGCGAGACCTGCGAGACCACCGGCGGGCCCAGAAAAGTGCGTGCGCCCGAAAACGCAACACAAGGCGACGCTGACACGCGTGACGTGTGTGTACGGCTGTACGTGTGTTGTGTGTTCAGGTGGCAGTGCACATCGAGTGCGACCCCAACGCGTCGACGCCGCTTTTCCACACTTGTGAGGAGCTGTCATTCTGCATGTACGAGCTGAAAATCAAGTCCCAACACGGTAGCCAAGCCACCAACACGCACCTAACACACCCACTGCTGGTCTCTCTCTCCCTCCATCTGTCGATTCCAGGCTGCTTTATTCGGATGACGCCAGGTGTGCAGGGAGCCCCGAATGGCCCTGCAGGGATGGTGAGCCTGTCGCAGCCGTCAGTCGGGCTGCCTGTCGCACCGCAGACGGGAGACCAGCAGCAGCAGCACCGGCAGCTGCGCGACGCCACCCATGACCAGCACGGCATGCACATGCACCGGCATCATCATCATGGGGGCATTCTGTCGTCTATCAGCCACCTCGTATTCTTGTGAGGCAGCCGACAGACAAGACGAACATGCAGCGGCGGTTGTCATCTCACGTTGTGTGTCCTCCTCTCCCTCCTTTGTGCAGCGCGATATGTCTCTTTGCCCTATACATCGGATTCGGGACTTACATCAATGTCTCGCTATATGAGATGCAAGGTAGGTGGGGGAACGGACGACAAACAGATCACCACACACTGCGTTTCGTTCATTGCCGTCTTCCTTCCTATGTCTGGCTGTCTTCAGGCCTGGATGCGGTGCCGCACATCAAGTAAGCGGCACACCCTCAGAAGACCCTCCAGACACATCCATCCGTCCTTCTCATCGGTGTGATGTCATGTTGGTGTCTGCAGGTTTTGGCGAGAGGTGCCGGCTCTGATGCAGGACTTCCTGTCCTTCCTGGTCAAGATCGTCGGCACCGTCCTCAACACCCTAGCTGCAACCGTGCGCAGTGTGATGCGTCGGGCGGGCATGCAGCCGCCCGATGTGGCCTTCCCAACCAGATATGGATATGCCAGCGTCTGAGAGAGGGACGGAGGGGTGAGTTGAGTGGCTGCTGTGCTGCGGATGTGTGATCGGACAGATCATCGTACGTATGGTACCACTGGCTGTTTCCAGCTCGGGGTGGGAACAGCTGATGGTCGCTCTGCCAGGAAGAGAGACCGTCACTCGTTGCCAGCCGGGGGCGGGAAACAGACCAGTGGTGTCCTTCCTTCAGCAAGACGACACGACAACACAGGAATGGTATGTGTAGCGTGTAGCGTGCTGTTCTTCTCCACAGACGTGTGTACATATATATCTATGGGCGTGGCGTGATGGTGACGTCAGTCAATGTGATTCCATCGCATCGTGTCTTAACACCAAAAACACATGAATGAGCAGGCAGAGAGCCAAGGGTGGTGTCTGTCGAAAAACTAGGCTCTCTAGCCGATCCCTCCTCCATCCATCAGTCTTCAGTCTTCACAAATTACAGGTTCATCTCTCTGTCTAGGTAGGTGCTAGTCAGCAAAACCCTGTACAAAACGCGGCGGCACGCACATACAACACAATGCACCACATCACTGACACACACAAACAATGTCAGTCCGTCACAAATACGTACACACATCATCACAACAACCACATCATCCCAACAACCTCAGTGTGGAACTCGCCATAATTCCCTCCCATACAGTGTGTTTGTGCCCATCCACTGGTGGCCGCCAAACACACACACAGGTGGTATGCACGCACTCTCTCTCCCGCTCTGGCTCAATGTCCCTCTCTCAAATCGATCCATAATCAATCACAGCAGCGCCTCTCTCTCCCCGGTGCTTGATCGCCTCCTCCAGTCTGGCTGCGGCCATCCCAGCGCCCACGCCACAGGCGGCGGCCCTCCGTTGGTCGCCCGCCACTCCTCAAGTGGTGACGCTGCCACAGGGATGGGCTGGGGCTGGTGCACCAGCCGTGCAGGCGACCGCTCGCCCAGGCTGCGGAATTCGTTGCGCCCGGCGGCAGAGGCGAACGTCATGACCCCATCGTTGCGGATGGCCTGGTTGCGGGATGGGGGAAAGGTGAGGTCGGACACGATGTTGCCGCTGAAGTGCCGCTCGCCGGTGAGTGCGTCCATGAGTGCGTCGTGCTGCCTGGCCGCGTGGTCGTTGTCGCTCTGCATGTACATGTTGGACCGCTGCTGGTGGCTGTGGATGGTCTGGGGGTTGAGGTGCAGGGGATGGGCACCGGTGGGCAGGCCGATAGATGAGGAGCGGGCATCGGGGTCTCTGGAGGGAGGTACAAGAGGGAGAAGGGATGGATGTGACACCGATGTGGATCGGTCGGTTGTCTTACGGTGGCTGCTCGGTTGGAGTGACGACTGTGACGCTCTTCTCCTCCCCAGAGTAAGCGCTCGGCAATGTCACCTCTGAGACGAAAAGCAATATCACACACGCGCAAAACAACGCTGTCGACGGACGAGAGAAGGAGGCTGTAGACTTACGCGTAAGCTGCCAGCCGAGATCCGACTCGTCGGGTTGGGCACGCAGCTGCACAGAGGGAGGGAATGCAGGCCTGCAGCCGTGCACACAGGGGGCGATATCTTCGTGGCGTACGTGTTTGGGGTATATGATTTCGAAGGACCCCTTGCTCTCCCACTCGTGCAGCGACACCACATAGGCCGCCACACACCAATCGCCGCTATGCGCACGCACTGTACCAACCACACCACATCAGCACAAACGCGAAAATGGCAATGTGCCCGCTTTCGTTCTGTCTGCGCACCTCACTCACCTTCGACGGACGCCTCGCTCTGCAGCCTGTGCAGCGGCAGCCTCAGCTGGGACTCGTCGAAGGAGCCATACACATACACCGCCCCCCACATGTCGCGACCCCTCGACCCGCCCCGGGGATACACACCAAAACACCAACTCTCCTCCTGACGTGCCGAGCGACGAGAGAGAGAGAGAGAGAGAGAGAGAGAGAGAGAAAGATGGGTTGAGGGTGTGTCTGTGGGCGGTTGGTTGATGCACTCGACTGCTCTCACCCTGGCAGCCTCCAGGAAGAGCTGCATCACGAGCAGCGGCGTCCTGCCGTCATCCAACGCCGTCCCTTTAGCCACCAACTCATTCAGATAATCTGCACATAGGACAACACAACACAACAGAACACATGTTGATCTGCCTGCTTGCCTTGGGATTCTGTACCTTGGCTAAAGTAGCTGCCCGTGATGTCCTGTGTGTGCAGCGTGCGTGCCCTGCCTTCGCCAGAGGATGCGAGCAGGGTCAGGCGGGCTGTGGCCCGGCGGTCAGCGCGGTGAGCGTCCGGGCTCCGCAGCAGGTCTGTCCGCGGGAAAACTTCATCCACTGTCTTGGCTGAACCATAGCAGCAGCCCATTTGCCTAGATGCTTCACCTCCCTGGCTCCTTTGCCGTCGACGAACACCTCGGACGCAAACAGTGTTTGGTGTGACCCATTTTCGCGCTGGGTTTTAGGGTTCTGTCAAACCCTGAACCCACCTGCCGCGTTTTGGCAGTAGAGTTATGGGTGCGTGCGTCGGCAAGCGGCCGGCAGATGCTGAAAGAGAACCGACCCTCGCCGAAATCAAGGAAGTGGCGGCGCTTTGCCGGGGCTTAGGCGATCCCCCTCCCTCTGGTGCGGGAGCCGGTGCGTCAATGGCGGGTCCTCCCTCACAGCTCAACGGCTCAGCTGCCATACGAGAACCAACCTACGAGGAAATCCAGGAAGTGTTGGCGTTTTATCGGGGCTTAGGCGATCCCCCTCCCCCTCCACATGGTGGGGGTGGCGGTGGTGATGGGTCGGCAGCCGCCCCTTATGCGGCACATGGCCATGCAGCTCCACCCAATGCACCACCAGCACCGGTACGACAGCAAGAGATACACAGATCTCAAAGGTATTTATTGTCAGTCATGTTGCTGTGGTGTTCGTGTGTGGCTCTGTCTGCAGCCGTTTGGTGGTCCTGGAGTAGCTGTAGCCACATCGCATCCATTTGAGCAGCAGCAGGTACAAGGCAGGCAGGGTCAAGAAAAGGGAAACACAAGTGTGTCTTTCTGTCTGTCTGCCTGTCTGTCTGCCTGTGCCGTGCAGGGTGTTGCTCGCCCAGTGCTGACGATGCACCAGCAGGCCCCTCAGCCGCCCAGCGGCCATGGCTCGTCCGGTGCGGCAGCCGGTGCGTCGATGGCGGGTCATCCATCCCCACAGCTCAATGTCTCAGCTGACATACGAGAACTAACCCCCGCCGAGATCGAGGAAGTGTGGGCGTTTCATCGGGGCTTAGGCGATCCCCCTCCCCCTCCCCCACCCCCAATCATGCCGCCCCATCTGGTTTACTCGCCTCTTGGCGGCTTCCCCTTCGCACAGCCGCCCCCCTATGGCATGCCCCTCCCGGCTGCACCGCCCAGCGCCATGCCCTCCATGCCGCCCAACAGTGCCGTCCAGCCACAGCCAAACCCGGGCGCCACGAGGCCGCGACCGCCCGTATGACGCCAGGCCAGCCATAGCCAGCAACAGTAGCAGCAGCAACAGCGAGTAACAGTAGACGGCACCCGGTTGGGATGAGCAGGCAGGGAGAGGGAGGGGAGAGTGTGAGCGGGAGGGCTACTGCAGAGGGTGGATGGATGGGTGTGAGTGTGCTGATGTTATAGGGGAGGCGACTGAGTGAGTGGCTAGCTAGAGGCGAGGGATGACTGACTGACAGATGGTGCATGCATGGATGGATGGATTGACTGATGGACGGATTGACGGACGTGGAATGGCAGCATGTTTGTTTGTTGTTGTTTGTGTTTGTTTCTGGCCGGATGAATGGATGGATGGATGGCATGATGGGCGTGTTTGTGTGTATGTCGTGTGTCCCTCCCCCTTTTGTGGGCATCTCGTCCGCCGAGCTGCAACCTCAGAGTATCAGCCCATGTGTGGTGTTGGTGCCTTGGAGTTGCCGGGTGGCGACAGAGATGCGCACAGAGGGACCGTGGGCGAATGGATGGACAGGGACACGACTGCCGGCGCACACACACACATGGATGGATGGATGGATGCTAGGACACCTGTGTACCGACGAGTGCGGGCTGTACACACGGGTGGGTGGTGGGATGGACAGCGGCAGGCAGAGACACCCATGAATTGATTTATGCCCTAGGCTTGTCTTTCTCTCTTTGTCGCACAGCAGTCGCTTTGCCTGCCTGCCTGCCTGCCTGTCTGCTCGTCCATGTTCCTGGCTGCCTGTCTGTTTGCGTTTTTGTTTGTGTTCGTTTCTGGTTGGATGGATGGATGGCTGGATGGATGGATGGATGGGTGTGGTTGTGTGTATATATGGTGGGCTGCAGCGACGTGTGAATGAGTGAGAGAGCGGGCTGCATCGACAGGACTGAGATGGCTGACAACCGATGGATTGACGCATTCGATGAATGGGCGAATGGCAGAGGGGTCGATGGGATGGACATAAATCCACAGGCAGGAAGGTGTCACGTCACGTATAAACGGTACACACAACATGACACCTCACACACTCACACTCAGACGGCCTGATATACAGCCATGACATGACCCCAGCCACGCATGACATCCGACATCCAAAAGCGGCAAAACGCTCTCTCGTCTCTCGTCTACACGAGCCAGTCATGTCACCGCTTCATGAGCTTAAACCGCGGCCGATTTGCCTTTTCCCGCTTCTTTCTCGTCTTCTCGTCCTCCTCGCCAGTGTCCTGCACACACACACACACACACACACCACACGCAGCTCATCGCCTGCCTCCCTCTCCTCGGTCGCTCGTCGGCTCACCGGTTCTGGCGTGAAGACCCATTGCAGGATGGAGGAGGCTAACCGCCAGATGGCGTACCCCGGCACCACCAGGTAGACGAGCCAGAACCAGTCGCTGAAGGTCGTCAGCAGCTGCACAACCGCATTCACGATAAACACATCCTGAAAGTACCTGCGAGCGGACACAGACAGCTCAGAGCAAATGACAGCTTCGGCGTGTGGTGGTGACCTTGTGTGTCCGTGTGTGCGTGTGGCTCACGAGTAGTCGAGGCTCATGGTTATCCGCTCGGCCATGCCTGTGTAGGTGAAGTAGTAGACGATGGCGAGGAACACGTACCCCAGACACGTGTAGTGGGTGACCGAGCGAAACTGCCAAAGGAAACGGACCAGCACATACGGTATCTGCACACACCCACACACCACGTGTCAAGTCAATCAATGGACACACAAACAAACAAATGAGCACAGGTGCATGTGCTGTTTCCGTGCTTGTCCAACTCACCTGCACGCCAATGATGACGTAGAGGTAGATCTGCATGGCTTCCTGAGCCTTCTTGCTTGCCTTCTTGGCCGCCTGCCCTGCCATTTTCCAGCTCTCCGCCTGCTACCGTCCTCAATGTGGATTTTCGCCGGCGCCGAGTGTTGGATCTACTGTAGGGAAAGGGCGCCCTTTCTCCTTCTCCTTTCCCTCCGGAGCTGCGAGCTTGGCTACAAGCTCGCGTTGTGGTGGGCCTCTCGGGTTTTTCCCCACTTTCGCGGTTGAAAGAGGTCAGCATGATGACAGGAATGCGCCGGGAGAGTCAAGCATCTCGTCATCTTCTGCCTTCCATGCGTTGCAGGGATGGTCCACGCGTGTGAAGGCTTCGAGCTGCAGGGGAGCACGGAGATCTCCGTCGGCCACTGAGCGACTTGCGGCCCTCGCCCTCCCACCGTCCCTCTCCGGTCACCGGTCACCGCGCCGCAGCAACGGACGCCAAGCTGGACGTGCCGTGACCTTCCTGACGAAGCCACTCGCCGGAGAGACAGATCTGAGCGACTGGCGGGGCATTCCTTCACATCAATGAATGGTGAGGAGAGAGGGAGGGGGGCTCACACTATCCACGAGAGGGAGGGAGGATGCTTGTTCTTTCTCTGTGTGCTGTGTGCTCTCCAGGTGTGTACGAGCCGACACTCCCCAGTGACCCACACCGGGGCCGATGACCGCACGCTTCTCTTCCTTGCTGCACTGATCGTGTTGGGGTGGTTGTGACTGTGGTGTGTCAATATGGTGTGGGCGTGGCAGCCACGTGTGTGTGTAGCGGGGCCAGTGCTGGCGGCTGCGATTGTTCAGTGGCCCTTTGTGGGCTATGCCGCGGGAAGCGGTGGTGCCTTTTGTAGTAAGCACATTCATACCGAACAGACAGACAGACAGACAGACGTGCCATCGAGTACGTCAGTTAGGCACACACATCAGCCGTCAGTTGAGGCAGTGAGCGGCCGGCCCTCCTCTGTGCGCATACCGTCACCCTCTGCTTCCCATCTCTCGGCTCGCCTATGTAGTTTGCCAGCTCTTGGCGACGTGTGGCCTGTGCGTGTGGATCACAGCGTCGCGGAGAGGCGGGCAACTGCATGGCCGAGCTCTAGAGGGGGGTCAGTACGGGGATTGCTCGGACACACACTCGATGCCATCTGTAGCATCTCCCTCCATCAGCAGGCAGGCTGTCTTTGCCTCTCACTCTATCTGTCTGGCGATATGATGTTGTCTGTGTACTGGTCGATGGGGCCTGCCGTGTGTGTGTGTGTTGGCCGAGGTGAATGTCTGCATGAGACCACCGATGGCCCATTTCTCCCCGACACCAGAGGGAGCACACAGATGGTCCATCGGTGGTTGTGGTGGCAGGCAAACACCTACGGCCAAACAAACCACGGCAGCATGAGAGAGGCTGGGTGAGCTGAGAGGGGCATTGCTGTGCGGACAGGTATGTGATCAGTGCGTGACACGTGGGCTGCTGATGGACATTAATGACATCAACGCATTTGGTCTGTCAATTGGCACAGCCAATGTCTCACTGAGCAGTTCACGTGAATGCAGCGAGAATATCCGTCACAAACAACCGAATATAAAATGCAGGCAACGATAGGGGAGGGGTCGCCCCCCGCTCCCCCTCATCGACACTCCTCGTCTCTCCGCAGCCACTGATGGCGCTCGGCCGGCCCGTTTGGCGAGAACTCCTGCACGGCGGCGCTTGGCTGCACCGTCCCATCGATGGCCTTCTTCATGGCCGCCGTCTCCCGCACCACCTTCTTGGCGAAGTGTCTGGTGTAGAGGGGCGTGATGTCGTTCCTCTCGGCAAAGAACGCCCCCTCCTCGCCGTAGATGTGGCCGTTGCTGCCGCTGCCTGAGGGGTGGTCCATGTGAGGCCCCATCAACACCGCCGAACCCAGCGAGCAGACGGCATATGCGTCTGCGGCCGCGCTGAAGGGGCCGTAGAGGGCGGGCGGGGGCGATGGGCTGGCCGTCCTGCGGGTGGTGCTGCGGTCGATGACGGCCTCCATCGTGGCTGCCACCTTCCTCACGGCGGCGGGGTCTGAGTGGGGGGCTGGGACGGGGGCGGGTTCGATGTCATGGACTGTCTGTGGCAGCGAGGGCAGCGGCTGCAGTGTCTCCGCCCGGCGTCTGGCCATCTCAAAGTCTATCCACTGGCTGCACAGCCGGCGGGCGACGGCGTCCCAGACGACCATGATGTTATGGCCGTTGGTGTCGCCGTGCACCCAGTCAGCCGCGTGGATGGCAGCCAGGGACGACAGCGCCGAGATGACCAGCCGTCGATGGGCGTCGGGGGTCAGCTGCAGGCAGCGGAGGGTCTGGGCGATCACCGGCAGACGCCGCTTGGTGGCCTTCGGCAGGCATGGGTCGCGCAAGAGGCCGGCGCGTATGTGGAAGATGTCGAGGAGGGTCACCTCCCCGTCCCACACCTCGGCCGGCCCCGGCTGCCTCTCCATCTCCCGCTTCTCCTCTCCCTCGTCGCCACTGTCCGCCTCTGCGGGCGGAGGCTGCAGGGCACGGAGCATAAAGGCTGGCACACTGGCCCGAATGTCGGCCATCCTGCGCTCGTGCTTTTCCCGCATCTCCCTGAGCATCTCCTCCACTGAGCCATATCGGACAGACACACACACACAGGTGTGTTGCTTGCCGAATGAACAGCCGTCTCTCTGTCTGTCTGGCGGCTGGCTGGTCATCTTACGTTGCTTGTCAGCCTCGGAGAGCGTCGCCTCCTCAGCGGAAGCCGAGCCCGATGAGGGCTCTGGGTCCGGCGATGGTGGCTGCTGCTGCTCGAGGTCGGTGCGGTCGGCCTCCGTAAGCAGCTCTGAGAGGGAGAAATCAACAGCCAAGGCGCACACACCAATGCAGACAGACACACGTGCCGCGCCCCCCCCTCTGTCATGTGCAATCCATACCGAGAATTGTGATATCAGCACGTAGCCCTCTATCAGAGCCGGCACCCTCTTGTTGGCCGTCGACGGCCGCAGCCTTTCATACCCATTCTCACGGTACTCGTGCCAGTCATTGTCCATCAGGGCCACCGACAGCCGCGCATCGCCGTCGGCGAGGCCGTGGGCCACCAGCGGGACGGCAATCGGGAGGCCGCCATCCCCCGTCACGCCCTTCAGCGCCTCGATGGCCTCCGCCTCGGCGCGCCGTCAGCCGAGCTGCGCCCTCCTGGCCTCGTCGACGCGCCTGATGGCGTCGGGGACGACTGCCTTGAGCACCACCCGACGGCCCTCACAGTGGCCCTCGATGACGCCGTAGCGGGGAGTCTCGCCGACGGGCCGCACCATGTAGCGGCCAGCTGGCTGGAACGCCGCCAGAATGGCACGCGACTCCTCTGACATGGCCTCCTGTGGTGCTGGCTGCGCGCCTGCAGCTGAGGGTGAGTGGGCGAGGGCGAGGGGCATCTGTGCCGAGCCGGCGTCAGACGAGGCGGCGAGGGGCAGCAGCGGCGATGAGCCGTCCGAGGCGTCATCTTGGCCAGCAGCCGTAGACGGTGGCGACGGGCTGCCTGGGTGCTCCTGACCCGCCGCCCGGCATCGCTCAAACAAACGACCTGACGATAGAGGCCAACACACACACAGCAAACAGGACAATGATCGGTCAGGCCAGACATCACCCAGACGTCCCTCTGTCTGCCTTGCCCTTTGGGTGTGCCCCGTCACCCACTCACCATCTTCAACAACAAATCCTACGCACTCCTCACGCACATCATCATGCACTACGCCGTCGTCCTGCCCCTCGATGGCTCCCCCCTCCTGACGCTCCCCCGCCTGGCTGTCACCCTCCTCCTCACCACTTTCGGCCTCCTCATCGTCCTCCTCTCCATCCTCACTCTCCTCCTCTGCGGCCGGTTCGGGCCCCTCGTCCCCGACTACTGGCCGCAGCTGCCGCAGGTTGGACACGTGGTTGGACAGGCTCAGGCCGCCTGGTGGGGGCAGCTGGCGTCCCCGAAACACAGGGCGGAGCAAGCACTGCTGCTGCTGCTGGTGGTGGTGGTGGGTGGGCCGCCAGATCTGTGGACGTCTGCCGTACGATACGGACTCCCCTCTCCCTCCCTGCTGAAAGCCACGATGCGGCTCAGCCCGACTCATCTCATTCCCAGGCAGTCGCGCGATATTCGGACGGTAAGTCGTCGTGGAGGTGCTGGTGCTCTTCAACAAGTTCGATGTGTGTCGGTTTGTTCGGTCTTTCCTACATTGTTGTCTATCTTCTTTCTTTTGTAAATGAGGTGGTCACTTGCACATACCTTGCAAATGATCTGCATCCATCCATCCATCCATCCAGCCACCCACATGCGACACACACAAGCAGCGACCAGTGCAGGGAAGTGAGTTCATGTCCGTCTTTGTGCGGGTGGTTGGCTACCTACCTATTTGCAGCAGGGGAGCTTGAGCAGGTCCTCACGACATGTGCAAATGGGGCACTGCTTGGCGGCGTCAGCTCCCTCGGCGGTCGAGTGCTGACACACAGGGCACTGCAGGTCCTCCACCGAGTCCTGCAAACAAACAGGACCAACGAACACATAGATAGCCCTGAACGAGTGTGTGAGTGTGTGTGTATGGTGTGTGAGGGGCCGGCTTCCTTACGGCCTCTCCTCGCCCATGGCTCTGCTTGCACTTGACGCACAAACGATGGAAGCAGATCAGCATGTCCTGTGCAACAAAGACGATAGACACATCGGGCCAGTGAGGTGAAGTGTGATGTGGTCTTGTGGTGTGTGGTGGTCACGTACCTGTGCTAGCACTGTGGTGTAGAGGTTGCAGTTGCTACAGTCGCCCTGAAACGCGCTCAACTCTTTGAAACGGCGCTACTGGGAACTGTGGGCATGACGTCGAACCATAGCACAGCACAAAGATGTCAAAACTGTGTGCATATGGCTACGTACTTGGCGTAGAGGAGGTCGTAGTGGCACGGCCGGAAGAAGGGGACCACAGTTGTCTCTGTGGTGCCGGGAGAGGAGTTGTCCTCGGGTTACTCGTAGATCGGGCAGACACCAGCCGAGTTGTCCTGACGCACACACAGCATACACACGCGAGTCGAGCGAGAAAGGCGTGTGTAGTCGATATTGGTATTGTTGTCCTGTCAGTCACTTACCAACAGCACGATGCGGATTCTGATCTTGAAACATATCGAAGCCACGGCAACCACCAACCACACACACACACACACATTCATACAGACACAGACACAGTGACCACTACCCCCACCCACCCAGAGCTCCCCCTTCCCCATCATTTACCCATCTGCAGCGTACTTCTGCCCGTAGCAGTCCTCCGGGCTCCCGCGGAAGGGGTGCGTCTGGACGTACTCCGAGATGGTGAGCGCGCCATCCTTGTGGTCGACCATGAACATCGCCACCACACGGCGAAGAAAACCAAGGAGAGGAGGGAGAGAAAAGAACGGTCAAGAATGTCTGCTGTGGGGAGGGTGCGGGCTGTGCACCCACCTATGGCTTTGTCCAGGTCGCTGTCAGTCATCAGGTGCCAGTATAGATCGGTCCCGTTGAGGCGTTGCAGGCGCCCCCACTGTGTCTTCACAGTCGTCGGGCACATCGAAGGCGTACTCGCCAGCATCTCGCAGTTCACGGAGGCCGAAAGCGAGGGCACGGTAAAACAGTTGCCTGCACACAAATGACACGCCACACACAAAGCATCACGTCAACCACTCCCATTGCCCGTGTGTGTGGTGCCTTACCGTCACCTCGCACTCGTCTGTAGCTCGAGTAGTTTGTCGACCTTCTTCTTGACGTCCAACAGCAGCGGCACCGACGGCGGATAGCGGTAGTCCTGATATCCGCTGGGACCTGGCCCTCCTCGATATCACAAGTGCTCAAACAACTATCCTACCTTGTGTCATGCACGGTCCCCAGCCGAAACACTCTCAACATCACATCAAAGGGGACCACCAGCAGCGTCCAGCAGCTGCGGGAAAGAGTCGGGAAAGGCCGGACCGCTGATAAAGTTGGATGGCCTCTTCTGCGATTGGATGCTGTGCTCTCTACAGAAATGAGGCGGCACGCAAGCTGCGGCGAACAAACGACGCTGGAATGTGTCGAAATTGGAACGAAATATTCTTCGGGCTAGGGTTCATCTGTCGTCGTCTCTCGGCGACAATTCTCGACGCTTCAGAAGGGCAGCTGCTTGCGCATGGATTTGCCGGGGGTGTGGGCAGGGGCGCCTGCCGAGGCCATCGCCGTCTTCTCAGCGGGCATCATCGCTGGTCTGTCGTTCCTCGTCTACGCCAGCCGAAGAAGCCCGACTCCCAAGACCAAGCAGGAGGACGCCCAGCCCGACGGCCACACGTCCGTCGTCACTAGTGGCGCGGCGCAGAGGGAGGGCATGCGGCAGAGGAGAGGAATGCCGACGGATGCGCAGGCCGGCAACACGATGACAGCTGCTGACGGCAACGAAAGGCGGGAGCCGATCTCTCAGGCTGATGTAGAGGCTGCCCGAAGACGAGCCGAGGTGAGCCATGCATGTATCTCTTGATAGCACGCAACTGCACGGACGTGCTCTTCGGGCTGGTGGGTGCGTGGAGTGTGTGTGCAGTGGTTTCGGTCGAGGCTGACTCCCGAGGGCCGCGCTGCTCTGCAGAAGCTGGGTGCACTCACGAGTGGGCTGTCGCCTCGCGAATCGATGGCCATCAAGGCCGTCTTCGCACTCATGTTTGTGGGCTTGCTTGTGCTCATCTCGGGTGCGCCTGTTCGCCACACACGCACAAAGGATGCCCTGTGTATGGTGTGTGTTGTGTGTCAATCAGGGTTGCTGGTGTTGCTGACCAAGGGCGGCATCCTGGGGTGGCTTGCCGAGGGCATCAGGCGGCTCGTAGGATGATCGGTCGATAGAGGGGAGGACACTGAGAGGGGGTGTGTTGATATGATAGACAGGACGGGTACTGCGAAGACTGACTGACTCTATCACTGTATATGACCGCCTGGTGTGTGTATAGCTGGTTGTCAGTCATTGATGTACTTACTGCGTTGCCCTCTGTCGGTGGGTGTGTCACGGTGGCTGGAGTGCCGAGTGGTGCATCTGAGGAAGAAGCCGACGTGGGCTGGTCCCTCGGATACATTCTCGTTTCTTGAGCCCCAGTGGCACGCTCGCTCACTTGTGTGGCCTCTCTTATGCTGACTAGCATTCACGGCACGTGCATCTTACCTTTGTCGACAGCACGGTTGTCCACTCAACGTCACTGCACATGGTCCCAGAAGAATGAAGCACGTAGAGAGGGTGTGTGTTGATAGGTGGACTGACTTGATCACTGTATATGACCGCCTGGTGTGTATAGCTGGTTTTCGTCAATGGACTACGCACTGGGTTGCTCAAGCGGCCGTCTCACGGTGGCTTTCTTCGAATCGTGGGTGCAAGGTGCAGTGACATGTCAGCTCACTTGTGTGTCTTCCCATGTGCTCACCTGTGCGTTGATGAGTGACTTCGCACAGGCGTGTAGCCGGCTTGGCTGCCAGGCCGTGCATCCGAGAAATAGGTCATCAGAGGCTGATTCTTTCCTTGGATACGACTTGCCGCCATCTGGGATACGCGCCCACTTATTGGATAGCTAATCCATCGTGTGTGTGTATTGACCTGTGTCTGAAGGTGTTCAATGAATTGAGCAAGGCTCTACAAGTCGGTCAGTCAGTCGAGCAGTCAGTCAGTCAGACAGTCGGCACATCAATCGTCACTCCCTCTGTCTGTCTGTCTGTCTGTCTGGCTCCCTCACGCACCAAAAAGACACACACTGGCATCACACGCATCCATCCATCCATCCATCGGCTCATCCTTTCTTTGCACACACCAAATTACACCGCCACTCATCATCCATCAACAGCATCATCATCACGGACATCAGTTTACGCACATCCCCGCACGTACTTGTAATGGTTCCCCGTGACCCGCAGCGCAACACACCGCACAGGCCTCTGCTTCCACGCTTCCCTCGTCCATCACGCCTGTTGCGCGAGCGCTGGCGGCCCAGCGTAAGGCTCCACGTAGAACCACATGCACAGCCAGTGCGTGAGGGCCCCCAGCAGCACAAACAAGTGCCAAATCTCGTGGAAGCCGAACCTGTACATATAATCGACGCACACACAAAGTGAGAGAGAGAAATGCCCACACGACCATTGTGTGTCATCGGCTGTGTACCTGCCCGGGCATGGGTTGGGTTTCTCTGCCCCGAATATGACAGCCCCGCCCGTATAGAGGACGCCGCCCAGGACGATGAGGCAAATGCCGCCGGCCGGCATCACCGCACACAGAGGAATCACCACAAAGACGCCCGTCCACCCCTGACAGAGAGTCAGGGAGCACGTGCGCGTGAACGTGGGATGCTTTATGTCCGTGTGTCTGTGTGCATACCATGAATCCGTGTATGGTCATTGAGAGCCACTTGGGTACGTGGTCGTGGCCCATGACTATGTGGGTGCTCATCCCGGTCAAAGCGAAGAACCATATCGACCCCAGGAACACCCACCCTGTATGTGCCACACAAGTACATCCACTCATTGTCTTTGTGGTTTCTCACTCACTCACCGATCCACTGGTGGTTGAAGTACACTAGACACAGGGGTGTGAAAGTCCCTGTGCACAGCAGGAAACACACCGCAACCACTCATTGCTCCGATTGACACACATGCCTTTCTTTGTCTGCTGCGTATGTACCTGCGATCATGGCGTATATGGCAAGGTAGTCGGCCATGAGGAATATGGCGTCGAACCGCTCCGAGTGGAGCCCGTGGTGCAGGAAAGACGTCACAAACACCGCTATCGTACACACACCGTAGATGCTGAAGCTCACTATGTGCCTGCACAGGCCAACAACGCACACATGACATGTGAGTGCAACTAACCAACGTCTGTGTCTTTTATACGTACCATGGTTTGCCCTCGACGCTGCTCTTGACTACGAGCATCAGGAACCCCATGATGGCCAGCATACTCCCCACCAGATGCGACGCAGCGTTGAACACCTCGTCAGTCACATTACTTACAATCAACACCACAGAGAACCACACACACATGCCATCCATCCATCCATCCCTTGTGTTGGAGGTGCTTACGGGCTGCCGTCTCTGCTCCTGGCTGGTGTGTGTCCGGGCTTTGCGAATTGGAAGAGCGGTTGCCTCTCCTCTGTGGCCGCCGTTGCAGGCTGTTCTCCAGCCGTAGCGCCGTCCCGCTGCACTGCCCTGTGGGATATAGGGACGCCACCCGTCTGAGATAGACCATCGTTCTGAACCAAAGGCTCCATCAGGCAGTACTCCGTCACCAGTGGAGCAGACGCGCCAGCGTGAGCAGCACCAGCTGTCGCCTCTGCTAATGCGAACCCTGTTCACTTGCCGCTCTGGAAGGGATTGTAAGATCTGACGCGTGGCGGTCAACAACGCACCCTTGGAAGGAAGAACGCCCTTTTGGGAAAGACCATTTTGCGAGCTTCACTTTTCCGATCGGAGGCGTGGGTGGTGAAATGAACGCGCTAAGGCTCGGGAGCACAGCTATCATCAGCACAGCTACCACATCTGGCCACCGTGAAGCGATTCGACTCATCGCTGGGAGAACCTCTGATGGCAAAGCACACAGGAGGGCCTTCTCATCCGTTGCACTCTCCCGCCGCGAGATCAGCATTGAGAAGTACCATGACAAGTACCACTCCTGTCCGCCAGTGATGCTGCTGCACGGCCTCTTCGGATCCAAGCTCAACTTCAACTCATTCGCCAAGGCCATCCACGCGCCGCGCTGCATCGTGGCTGACCTGAGAAACCATGGCAGCTCACCGCACCACGACGACATGAGCATCGAGGCGATGGTGGCCGACACGCTGCACCTCATGGACGAGATCGGGATTGAAGAGTGGGTGCTCGTGGGTCACTCACTGGGCGGCAAGGTGGCCATGGCGACGGCACTGATGCACCCGGACAGGGTCAGGAAGATGGGATGCATCGACATGGCGCCGGTGAGCGGCTGGCGGACAGATAGACAGAGGGAACACGTCAGGCATCCATGTGCGAATGCGTGTACGTCCCGTCTGTGCAGGTGGACTATCTGTCGGTGGAGTCGCCCAAGAACCGTGACGGCTACTCGACGCGCGACGTAGTGGAGCTGGTGCACTCCATCCATCTGGCGCAGGAGGGCATTACCAACCGGAAGGAGGCCGATGCACTGCTGCAGAAGAGGGCGCCGTGGCTGTCGGAGGGGCTGCGGGCATTCCTGCTTCAGAGTGCCCATGAGAGAAGTGACGGCACCTGGGGATGGAAGATGAACGTGGGCGCTATCATGCGGTGGGTGAGCCGATCTGCCGCCATCTATGCGTATTTGTCTCATTGTGCGTGGGATTTGTGTGCCTGACGGCAGGTGTTACCCTCAGCTGGCGGGATGGGAGTACCCAGCCTCCCTGACGTATCATCAGCCGTCGCTGTTCATCAAGGGCAGCGAGTCGCGCTTCATCGAGAACCACTACCTCCCCGCCATATACGAGCACTTCCCAAACGCACTGCTCGAAGTCATCCCTGACGCAGGTAGGTTGGTAGGTGTCTACCCACCGGGCACAGACCACCCGTCAGAGCACCGTGTGTTGTTGTGCCTGTCTGTGTTAAGGTCATTGGGTGCACAGCGAGAAGCCCCGCGAGACTTTGGAGCTGCTCAATGACTTCATCGCGGCATCGGACGAGGCGGACAGGGAGGGGGCGCCAATGGACACTGAGGGCAGATACAGAGCAGCTTAGCAAGATGAGCACTGAGGTGGGGAAAACTGGCTGGCTGATGATGAGGGTAGGAATGCTTAGTGTGTGTATAGTGAGTAAATGACGGTCTTTTTGCCTGCCTGCCTGGATGGATGGATGGATGGCTGTCCGTGTTCGAAGGCCGCTGGCGGGCGTGTACAGAGGTATGAACCTTATGGAATATGTAATGACGTCCGATTCCTGGCACCCACCCATCGTCTGAGCGGCCCATACTGCATATTGTAGGACCACACACGTTATCCAAAATGCGCATGCACTGCACCCGCCATCCCTACTAGTAAAATTCCTCTGCAGTATCTATCGTCAGCCTTTCCATGTCTGGCTCTCATCTGCCCTCGGCAGCAACCAGCAGATTGTTCAGGCACAGAGTCCTTATCTCTGTGTCTGAACTTCTACCAGCTGCTGCCTGTAGACCGACGAAAGCCCCGACACAGAAAGACCGCTCGGTTGAACTGTGCAACAGCAACAACACTCAGGAGCTGCCCAAACGCAACAGTCAGTAGGGCCGCAGATTTGTTTTGTCTGCCAGCAAACACACACGGCACACAGACTGCTGACAGCTGGATGTTGCGTGATATCGAGCTCACCCGACAGGTGAGCAGCATCGCCCTCCAGCAGCACCCTCCACTTCTCGCCGGGTGTCGGCCGCACCAGGTGCGTCACCGTACACAGCCCCTGGTAAGACACGCGCCCGACTAAACCGTCAAAGATGCCCGCACACGAGGCGCCATGCCCCACAAACACCAAAGGCGTCGAGGGCGACGTCTGCTCATGCTGGGCGCATATAGTCCTGGCGACTTTGGCCGATCGGTGGATGCAGATGTCGTCTCCGTACTCAGCTGCTGATGGGTGCATCTGCGCCACGTATGACTCGTCTATCCTGCACACGCACCACGCACACAGCCAGCCAGGGCAAAGAAAGCAAGGAGCGTGATTGATCCCTGTGGCTGTTTCGGGTGTTGTGCTTCTCCTGACGTACCTTGGGAAGGTCTCCTTGAGTTGTTCTGCAGAGAGGTACTCGGGCGGCGAGACGTGAATCACCTCACAGATACCTGCATCCATTCACGGACAGACAGCTGGGCTGGGCTGGGCTGTGTTGCACTGCCCACCTGGCTCGACTTTGATGGATGGCGCGTCCAGCTTCTCGGCAATCACCTACACACACATAGCATAACATCATGTCATACAACCTACGTACAGGGATTCATTCCCCTGTCTGTCTGTGTGTCCGGGTCCGCCCACGCTGGCCGTCTCAATACAACGAACGAACGGCGACGAGATGATGCACACAGCAGCAGGGGCCTTCATGCCATCTCTGGTCAGGATGGCCGCCAGCCTCTCTGCTGTTTCCTTTGCCTGTATCCAGCCCTTCGCTGCACACGCGAACACCACACCCACAGACAAGCAAAGATATGAATGCACTGACATTTCTGTCTGTCGTTGGTCGGGGACGTACGCGCGAGGTGTGGGTCATGCTTTCTGTTGTGGCCTGCCTTGCGCAGCCAGCCGGACTCCACCATGTCGATTCTGCAGCAGGCAGCCACATGCAATTGAGCTGGTGGAGATCAGTGATGGCACTGGCATGAGTGAAACACCTCTCGCCGTGCCGCACGATGAAGACCTCCATGACAAACGAATCCTTCTCGTTCCTTTCAAAATTCAGCGAGATCTGCGGGAGTCGATCGCATTCGAGGTGGTGAGGACCAAGCATACGATTGATTGTTCGTATGTGTACATACGACATGCACGTGTGTGTCACTGTCACTTGAAAGATCTCACATCGGGTACACAACTGCACTCCCCCGACCTTGTCTTGCTGCTTGTTGTGGCCCTCCCGCGCTCCTCATGCCACCATCGAAGCATGGCTTCGTGCATCAATGCTCTCGTGCATCAATGCATCCATGCGTCGGTGGTGGCGTAGGGGTCGTCCGTGCCACAACACGCGGCAAACAAGATACGGCGGGAGAGTGGGGGTGGAAAATGACAGACAGACACAGCACCTATCAGAGCGTCCAAAAATCCCATCAAGACGCTCTCTCCCTCATCTAGCTTCACAAACCAAAACTGCCTGTCCTCCCTCCCTCCCTGCAGCCCCTAGTCAGCGAGTGATTTCTCGAAAGCGTTTGCGGCGACGACGGACCTGAGTGCCTTGTTGAGCAGCACCTGCTCGTCGTCCGCCCTTCCCTCCTTCTTGGCCTGCATCTTGGCCAGCGCCCTCAGCACCACATCGTTGACGGCAATGTCTGTGGCCGGCGGCGTGGCGAACTGCTGGTGGAAGCCCAGGTACTTGCTCGTCAGGGCCCAGTCGGGCAGGCCGGGGTCGTACACGTTGAGTGAGGCCATGAAGGGGTCCAGCTCCTTGCTGCCCGACGCGGCCCGCAGCTTGAGGAGCAGCCGCCGCTGCAGCAGCTTCTGCTTGACCACCTCCTCAAGCGCCTTGCCCACTTTGATGTCCTCACGCGCCGTGACGATCTGCTTGGCGTGCTCCTTGACGTTGGCCTCCTCGCTCGCGGTGAACTTGTCCAGGGCGGTGGTGAAGTCCTCACGCGCCGTCTCGACCATCTTGCCGCCCTTGGCCGCCAGCGCCGTCTTGAGCTGCTGCATCTTCTCGTCGAGCGAGTCGATGCCCTGGTTGTGTGCGTAGATCTCCCTGGCCACGTCGGCAGCGGCCTTCTCGTCTTCTGCGAACTCCTTGACCTTCTCGCGCTCGATGTTCCTGTTATTGTTGACGATGGCCTTCCACACGAAGTTGTAGAAGAGCACCCACGCGATAGCCAAGTTGATCATGCCTGTCTCGAGCAGGTCCAGATTCAGGATGGCCGAGCCGCCGCCCTCCACCTCCACCACCTCTGACATCAGATTGGTCACCCCTGACAAAGCACCCAGCGCCTCCGGCATGGCGCTCGTCGCCGTCCGTGCGGGCTGCCTGTGGGGAGATGCGCCTCTGGAACGGATGAGGGGAGCTGTTGGGGGGACGAATCCAGCTGCTGATGCTGCTGCTGTGACGGCATTGCTGACGCCGCACATGTGACCTCCACAGATGAGGGTGAGAAGGCAAACGCCCAACCTCGTCTGCTGCATGGGGGGAAGAGGGGACGTCGCCTACGGCCGTGCGAAGAGGGGGGGAAAGGAGATCTGCCTTTTCAACCGCGAGCTCGAAAAAATCCACTGCGAGCTGCAAAGATCTGTGTGCTCTTCCCTTCCTTTCTCCATCATCCCAGAGCTCTGCGGTCTGTCTTTGCTGCTGTTCTACCAAGATCATGAGTGAATGCGAAGATCCGTCGTCGAGATGCTGGTGACATCTCTCGCGCTTCCGCTGGCGGTGACGATGGTCCTCTCTGTTGCCGCCCTTGCCCTCCCCTCATCGGCATTCATCTTTCCTGCCCCTCTGCTGCCCACTAAGCCACGCGTGGCAGCACTCCCCAGGCGCTCTCGGCTGAAGGCAAAGGCACGGCTGGGTGATCTGCTGAAGAAGGAGCTTGCCAGGGAGAAGAAGCAGCAGGGCGATGGTGACGGCGACGAAGAGCCGCTGCCTGAGTTCTTGGCGACGGTCCGGCGGATGCGGGACGTTGAGCCGACAGAAGACCGCCAGCAAGATGAAGGCGAAGGTGATGGTGAAATGGCTGACGAGGAGGGCGACGTGGAGAGCGAGGCTATCGGCGATGAGGAGTTAGAGCTTGAGGACCTTGCTGATGAGCAGATGAAGCGCACCCGTGTGCCGTTCTTCTGGGGCGAAGGAGATGACTTCACGGCCCTTGCAGCAGGCCTCCCTGACACCGACTCCCAGGAAGCCTTGTCCGAAATCTTGCGCACCGAGCTGGGCCTCAACCTCACCTCTGTCACGCCCCTCTCCCCGTCCACTGCCCTGCTGCACTTCCCGACCATGCTCGAGAGGGAGCGGGCGCTGCTCTTCGACAACCAGATTGTCCTCCCCCACGCGACCGAGCCCGTCCGTCTTGACGCATACCACGACGAGGATGCGGCCGTGACTGTTGTGGGGCTGCCCTTCAAGGCGCTGATGGACGACGTGAGGGGGTGGCTGGCTCTGGTCAAGGTGCGGGGAGTGCGGGAGATAAGGCTGCCGCGGACATGTTCCACACGACACATCGGGCGAGGCTACCTGCGATTTGACGATCACGAGAGCGCCAAGCAGGCCAGAGAGATCCTCAGCGGGCAGATGATGGTCGAGCAAGACGACAGACGGCTACGGACGGCCCCCTACAGACACAGATGGAACCTTGTGGCAGAAATGGACCCGTTTTCCTCACATCCAGACACTGCCTCCCCCCTCCCCTCCCTCCCCGCTGCCCCTTCGCGCATCTACATGGGCAAGCTGCCGTCATGGGTAACTGAGATGGACCTAAGGGACTTCTGCGAGAGCAAGGGCGTCGATCCGGCGCGCATCACGTCGATTGAGCTGCAACGCACAGAGGGGGCGAACAAGCGGCGGTCTGACGGCGCGCCCATCGATCGCTACGGCACCTTCACCCAGCTGACTCTGACGGACGGGCAGGCCGCATCGGCCTTGCTCAACTGTCACGGCGAGTTCTTCACCGAGAAAGACACGGGCGAGGCGATGCTGGTGGGGGTGCCGCCGGGAGCGCAGAGCTACGACACCGCCGCGATGCTGCACTCGAGCAGGGGGAACGGTGACGAGGGCGATAAGTGGACTGGCGAGGGGATGCCCCCATTTGTGCCGCTGAAGAGGATGCGGTCGCCCTCAAGTGTGAATCCTGACAGTCTGCGGCTACTGGTCGACGCAGATGCGGCGAAGGAGGTACACATTAGCACGTCATGACGAGTGGGGAATGACCGACCGATTTGCTTCGTGTCTTTCTTTCAGGAACTGGGCAAATGGTTGCGTGCTGCCGGCTATGACGTCATCGAGGCCACCAATAGACTGGATGACCCATACAGAAGGTGGGTGCCATCGATATGCAACGTGTGTCTCCCCTCTGTGTGTATGTGCCATTGCTGTGTGGACATCAATCGATCAGTCCCCGGCGCATGTTGGATGCGGCAACCAAGAAAGGGTCACGTCGTGTGGTGCTGTCGAAGCCTCCCCTTGCCTATCGGCTGCGGAGTGAGATGGCACGGCGCATCGCCGCCGCACTCGACCCAGCCACGCCACTCAGGGCCCTCAGATACAAACAGGTTAGACCGTACGATGGACGCATCTTTCCATTCATCGACTCTGTGGTTGTTGCTGTGGTGTGTTGTGGTGTCAGGTATTTGTCGATGGCTGGGCTGACAGGACGGTGCAGTCGCTGCGCTTCAACACGCTGGAGGGTGATGTCAACGAGATCAACCAGCACCTGAGGCTCAACTGGACACACAGACCCCTCTCTAGATGCCTCCGATGCAACAACCGTAAGCAACCCCAATCCACGCATCCACACATCCACACATCCACATATCCGCGCGTCTGTTTCGTGTTCCTTGTCATCCATTCTCTCAGCCGAGCTGGTTGAGCTGACAGAGGACAACGCTGAGTGGTACGAGGACGTCATCGATCAGCTGCAGATCGACATGGGCGACGATGCAGTGGTCCAGGACCACCTCGACGGCGTGCTTGTGTGTCCCTCGTGCCGCGCACATCTGACGCGGGAGGAGAGGGATGCCATCCTGGCACAGCTGCAGGTGTTTCAGCAGCTAGGGAGGCGGCCCGAGAGGCCGGACCGGCGTTATCTTGTTGCCAATGGGGACCCTTCCGGGGCTGATGCTGCACTGGATCTGAGGCAGCAGGATGTGGCTAAGGACGTCAGTGCTCGTGTGTTGGATCTGAGACAGAGGCAGGGGCATGAGAGGGGCCGTGTGTTCGATCTAAGGGCGGCGGTCGGTGGGTAGAGAGGCAGGCGGGCCGTTTGCAATGACGATTGTAGATGGAGCGGGTGCAATGCATCAATGCGATTGCGGATAAGTCACTCATTCGTTGGAACCCGAGGACATTACCCCCAAACGGACCATTTTGCGAGCTTGCATGCTCGCGACAGAACGTTTCCCCTCAGCAAATCGGTTCTCATCGGATTCGACGTTGCTGACATCGCTTATCGTGTCTGCATCCGACGTTTGGCAGAGCAGGCCATTGCATTCTGCCGGCAAGAGCACTCTACGGCCGGACAAGTAGCACCACGAGCCGCTGAGGACCTCAAACGACAGGTGAGGCACTGGAATGCATGGCGGTGCATCGGCCCATGGTGCGTTGATGTGCTCTGTTGCCGTCAGCCGAGCTTCAGTTGAGATGGCGGCGCAGTCTCAGTCCGTTGGCGTGTGCAAGACGGCTGAGGAGTGTGGCGCCAAGTTCGAGGCGTCGGACGGCAAGGCACCAAAGGGCATCGCTGACGGTGAGTTGGCGAAACGAAAGAATGAAAGAGGGAGGGCGGCATCCGATCCGTCCACCCATTCTGTGTGTGTTGTCCTTGTCAGGTCACGCGTACTGCACGGACGTAGGCACTCAGCCTCCACCCATCCACCTCGCTGCGCTGCGTGTGTCTGTCTGATGAGTCAGTCGCATTGTGTTGTGTGTGTTGTATGTGCAGGGCGCTGGGTTCGTTGTGGACGCCAAGGCGCCGTATCACCCGGACGAGTACGCACACGAATGGCCACATTGTGTGGGCGCGTTCCCCTCTAATTAATGCGTGTCGTGTGTGCGTCTATGGTGCATGCAGGGAGAAGGCCCTGACGGATCGGATGGCCGGACTCACCATGTCCACCTCGTCAGGTACGTACATGAACAGACATGTCCGCACCGAACGCACAAACGGCTTACAGTCACTCAGGGTGCGTTCTGTCCATCCGTCCATTGACTTCCTCAGGCACGGAGGGCGGCAGGGATTGGGGGAACAAGAAGGACGGCCTGTTGACTTGGGGGCAGTGGAGGTTCCTCATGGCTGGCTTCGAGAAGAGCCGCTGAGCCATCAAGCAAGACACACACAGCGACAGGCGCAGATAGCCAACGGACGGCGGGCGTGTACATAGCTAGTCGATGGCCGACGGGCACACTCCATAGATGGACGACAGACGGACAAAAAGAGGGAGGGAGGGAGGGAGGGAGACACTCTGGCTGGCTGTGTGTTTGTTCGATCAACTGCCGGCCTGACCGGTGGGCGGGCCGACTGGCCGGCACCGTGTTGTGACTGTATCTCCATGCATGCTCCTTGCTGGAGCCATCCATGTATGTGCCGCGCGTATGGATACCTGGAGTTTTGATTGATGATGCTGACTTACTTGATGACAGGTGTGGTGAAGATGAGTGAATGGTACTTCATGGGAACACATGTATACATGCGTATAACGGCTCTGGTTGGCAAGGAATTAATGCGATTGCGGAATCGTTCGTTCGTAAAAGGGGACCTTGCGCGTGAAACACATGCGGCTGAGCCTCAGCTGAAACGACCACCAGATCTCCCTCAAGCGGTTTATCGCCATGTCAGATCCACAGGAAGCGCCGATCGCCAACACGGCTGTCGGCAAGGTGAATGGCGAGGAGCACCAGCAGGAAACCCTCATGAAGCTCATGGACAGACAGAGGGCTTCACGGGCACCGTGCATCCGAATGTAAGCCTGGACGTGCACCACACAGCACCGCACATCTTGACGATTCCCTGCCTGCCTGACTGCCTGCCTGCCTGCCTGCCTCTCATATCCGGTTCGTGTGTGTGTGTGTGTGTGTGTGTCAGGATGATGGACGGGCAGAAGTGCGTCGTCAACGGCTTCCACTTCTCGTTCATCCATCTGCTGGAAGGGTACACGGATGCGGGAACGCTGCAGGACCCTGATGAATGAGCTATGTTGTGTTGTGTTGCGCTTGTCCACCCATGGATGTTGGATGCAGCAAGTGGAGCGGTCAGTGTGTGCGGCTGGCGTACAGCGGCCAGCAGGAGGAGCAGAAGGCCGCGTCCACTAAGATCCAATGGAACGAGGAAGGCTTCTGGTCAATGAGGGAGACCACCGCCGGGGTAAGTAAGTAAGTCATGTATGTGTGGATGCTTTTAGGCAGGCGTGGCTCTCACCGCTGCACCAGGCGAATCACTGCTCTTTTACCCTTGTGTCTGCAATGCGTGTCTTGCAGGAGGACGGTGCGGCGTACATCCGCCACTATCGGTTCCTCCCTGTGGGCCACGGACTGCTCTCTGTTGACCTGGAGGACGGGTACACAGACACGCGATGCGACCACACACAGACACACGTTTGTCGCGTGGTTTTGCCCATGTATGCAGGCCGAGGGACACGTCGCTGACGTTGACAGAGAGTGCGGTGTCTGTGGGCGCCACGCTGATCGGCACGTCGCCCAAGACGGGGCTACTCGAGGTCTCCGAACTCATCACACTCACTTCAGAGGTACGCATAGCACACACATGGTGACCCACAAACCAGCACAGGGCCGCATGTGTGTTGTGTGACTGTTGGTTGATTGGTCAGGGCATGTTGCAGCGGACGTCTCAGCGCTTCAACAACGGCAGGTTCGAGAGCCTGTGGGTCTTCTCAGAGAGGCGGGTCGAATAGCAAGCAATGCAACCCACACCCAAGGCCGGACAGAGCAGGCAAGCTGTGCGGGACACTTACTCTATTTCTCGATTTTCATACACACACGTGTCTAGTGTCTTTTTCTTCGGCGGCCGAGCCCTGGATGCGATTGCACAAGGGGACACGGCTCGGGAAAGGGAAGTGGGGACAATGATCGGGATGGCGGGAGCGGAGTAAGCAGCCGAGGTTTTCGACTGCTCGGACTGCGCTGTGTGTGTCTGAGGCATTTTTCGGGCGTTGCGGTCTCTTGTGCGCCGCTTGCCCGCCTTGTGGGATTTCCTCGATGATGATGGCCGTGGCAGAGATGGCACAATCCGTTCACTGGTCGATTGTACAATTCTGTTTGCGCCATCTTCATCGTCTAAATGCCACGAGAGGTCAGAGCGGTGCAGAGTGTGGTATCGCTCCCACTGCCCTGTGCTTGACAATGTGCCCATTAACCAACACGAACGGATATTGCGTTCTGTTCGTCAGAACATGCTCTCCTCTTTTTACATATCCGTGCCACTTGATCCATCGTAATGCATCCGTCGTCGCCTGTGCCTGATGCAGCAGCATGAGGGACACTCGAAAAATGACCCAGCGAAGCTCCATACGTGACCAAGCAGAAAGGCAGGGTGGCGTTGTGTAGTGTAGGTGGGCCGCCACACGAAGGGCCCTTAGGGGGAGGACGGGGCGGGTCTCGTCCACAGCTGGCAGCGACACACACAGGCGAGTCTTGACGTCGCCGTCTTTCTTCAAACTCGAGCAGACGCTGGTCATAACCTCCTCCAGTCCATCTGATGGGAGGCTTGCAGATCACCTCAATGCTGCCGACAGGAGAGGAGATCCATATGATGCATGTGCCACGGATTCATTCTGTCTCTTTTGTCTCTTACAGCCGAGGATTTGTGTTGTTGTTTATCTGTGTCATCCTCTCCCTACCACCAACGACAAGACAGACAGACAGACAGACACGCATGTGTTTTTTGGGAGGGCAGCATGGGACGTTGTTTTCCTGTCATTAATCGACCTCTTCCCCTGTCTCGGCTGCCTTGTGGCCCTCCGCTAGCTGACCTTTCGCTTACGTGCTGGTCTCGTGGGGGACGTCGTGGGGGACGGTCAATGTGACGTCAATCGCCGTCATCTTGGGAGATCTCGTCAGTGGGCAGCAGGTACGGCCCAGAAACGCCGTGAACACTAGAAAAATACGCGTTGCTCTTTCCGCCGATCCGTCTGCGAGCTTAGCTTTCAGGAGGGAAATCCTCTGGAATGAAGCGCCGAGCTCTCAATGCGCTGCTGGCCTGTGTCAGCTTCACCATCGTTGTCGCATCAGTAAGATCAGCGCATTGACACCGCAGATCTGGCGATGTCTGTCTGCTGTGCGTGATTCCAGGGCATCCCGCTGCCGAGGACATCAGATGCAGCGCTGTCATTCATCAACGCCCCTTACAGGTATGTATGCACAACACGACACATTTGCATGGCTGTGTGTGCTGGGCGTGTGTGTGGACTTGCTGGACTGCTGCACTCTTCCTTCGTTGGTACCGTACTAACATGGCCACCGTGCCTGGCTGCATAGAATGGGTCGCCCGCCACGCCAGCCCGCCTTCGCCCAGAGTAATGCAGCCGCCACTTCCGCCCCTGCCAAGCAGCCGCCGAGAAGAGCCCCCCATCCACCGCGTGACGACTCTTATCTGGACCACGAGTGGTCACATAGGACGTGGGAAGAGATACGAGACCAAGAGGGCATGACTGTCGTGCTGCCTGTGGGGTCTACGGAGCAGCACGGGCCCTCTGGGCTGATCGGCACTGATGCCATCACTGCTGAGGTCAGCGAGGTGTGTCTGTGTGACCGCTACACAAGGCAGACAAATTTTGCTTCTGTGTGTCTGTGTGAATACCTACAGGCAGTTGGCCGCGCAGCGGCTCGTGAGATGGGTGCACTTGTTGCTCCGACTGTCTCTTATGGCAACGCCATCCATCACAGTGGCTTCCCCGGCACCATCACTCTGCGGCCGTCAGTCTTGATCTATGTGCTGCAAGACGTCCTCCTCTCACTGAGGAATGCTGGTGTCCGCAACGTCCTCATCGTCAACGGTGAGCTATGCGCACGCACACGCGCGTGGTCTTGCACTGTGTCTTCCATCTATGCATTGCTGCAGGCCATGGAGGTAACATTGTTCCGATTTCACTCGCCATGAAGACGCTCCACGAGGCGGATGTGGCCACCATCATCCCCAGCAACGACAACCACAGCGCCCCCCACTGGCTGTGCTCGCCCTTGCACATGAAGATGCTGCCCAACAGTTCTCACGCCATCGACGACCACCCCCTGCTGACCCCCCTAGTCCCACGAGATCCCGACACGCCCTTCCGCGTCAAGCTGACCAACTGGTTCGCCACCAGCGAGGCGCAGCAAGAGGCTGGGGCGCTCTATGGCAACAAGAATGGGCAGCACGCCACATGTGACGAGATCTCCCTCACCCAGCATCTGTACCCCCAGTCCATCAAGCGGAACAGGACGCTCAGCGACGAGGCCATTGCCAAGGCGAGGAAGATGGGTGGCTGGACCAAGAGGAAAGTCGACGCCCAGTCGTCGCTGTCTGTCATGGACCCTGTGGACTTCCGCGCGCGATTTCCTGACGGCAGGATGTTCAGCCATCCGCAGCTGTGCTGTCCGGAGGACGGGGTGCGCATCATGGATGCGGCTGTGAGGGGCGTGGGGCGGGTGCTGGCTGACCTCATAGGCGGGCACGGGGAGGGCAAGAGTCAAGAGAGAGCAGCTGTGGCGAGCGAAGCGGCCACTGTGACTGTGTAGTGAGACAAGGGTGATACCTGTGGTCAGCGTGATGTGTCTTATGTCGATTTCTCTCTCATGTATGCCGTGAGGACGCATGCGCTGTATGCGTGGATGCGTGCAGATTCTGACCTTTTGATGTGATGTGTGTATAACTGTGAAGGTTGCGGTGTGTGCACACACACGAACATGCGCCCTTTCGCCTGTCGTTTTGTGTTGCTCGGTCAGATCGCCCATCCACCATCAGTCGGCAGCGCAACGATCTCCAACGTCCCAACTGCACATGTTCGACGGCCTCAACAAGCTCGTCGACGGCTTCCAAAAGACAGTACGTATTCAAATACGGACACATATCGAAGATGGATTCTCGTGTGTGTGTGTGGACATGTGCGTGCGTGCCTGCCTGCCTGCAGGTGTCGGACGTTCAGAACAAGCGTGAGAACATGATCGAGGCCTACATGAGGAGGAGCGGCAAGTCGAGGGAAGAGGCTGAAAAGGAGGTGAGGTGGGGTGCATTGGAAGATAAAAAGGTATTAAAACGGCACATCGATCCGTCGATGTCTCTGGATGTGTCAGGTTGACGAGTACCTGAATGACCGAGAGGGCTGGGTCATCAGAGAAAGGATGAAGGTATGTAACACACAGCACTCACTACCTTGTGAGAGGCTAAGGGAGAGCTGCATTCATTCGCTGCATGTGTCTCTCGCTGCCGCAGGCGGCGCAGGCAGAGACCAAGTCGAGCAAAGCGGAATCACAGCAAGCATCACCGAAGGGCCTCGGGCCCTTACAGGGTCTTTTCAACTTGGGGGGGAGCAACGACAAGTGACATTGATGGACCAGTTGATGAGAGACATGCATAGTCAATAGTCATATGGTCGGGCCAGGTCGAACACAATGTGTCTCGATCCACGAACACACGAATATAAAACGTAGGCAACGATTCGGGGGGCATCTTGCTCCCCATCTCTCACCACGACCACTGCGGGCCGGGCGTGAACTCTTCCAGACCATAAGCCCTTCACGCGTCACGCCCTCCTCGCAGAGACAAACCGGCCCCATGAAGCATCTAGCCATCCGTCGCGTCGTCACAGACAGACAATAAAACAGTCAGCAAAGTGGTACACATCACAGCAATCGTCACACATCCATATCAAATTCAGCCAGGCAGATAGATCATCATGCAACACACTGCTGAGCAGCAGTAGCAGCCTACCATCTGGCACCTCACCTAGCAGAATCAGCAGACCCGAGCGACCAGCCCAGCCACCCCAACCACCAATCCAATCCCACCCAATCCATCCCACCCGTCCCGCCCACCCAGCCATATCCACCCATTCATCCCTCTCATCCACACCCACACCCACACCAAGCTTACCCTCGTCTACATCCATCATTGCCTGTGGCGGCCGGATTGACACAGATACCCACACCCCACCACTCCTAAGCTAAGTCCGAGAGCCAGCCAGCCAAGATGACCGACGCGCCACAGATGGATGGATGGATGGATGGACGAAAAAAGAATGAGTCGGAGAAATTGGCCACCAAAGGTGCACAAGGCAACACACTCACGGCAATCAACCGCCACTCCACCAGCCAGACAGCCAGGAGAGAGAGAGAGAGCGAGAGAGAGAGACGAAAGGCGGCCCCCCATGTATGCGATGGACAGACAGGCAGACAGCCACGGCTGAGCGAAAGTCAATGCTCACGTACGTCGCTATGGGGCGGGGCGGTGGGCAGCCAGTTGTGTGTGGGGGGATGGTGGATGCGGCACGAAGGCAGTGCTGACGGCATGGACGTCCACTCGATCGGTTAGAAAGACAAGCAGAACAGAAGAAGATTCGCTGTCCGCGTCCCAAAACCGTCGTCAGGTTGACGGCGGGCCAGCTGGCAGCAGATTACGTAAGCACGCACCCTTCCCTCCCCGTCAGACGCCGCCCTAGTCAGGATGAAGTCGACAACAGTGCGATGATCTCCGGCAGCCACTCGTGGCGCTCAGCCGGCCCATCTGGCGAGATCGCCTGCAGCGCCGCGGCTCCACTCATGGCCTCCGTCTCCCTTTGGACCTTGATGACAAAGTGGCTGTCGTAGAGGGGCGTGGTGTCGTTGCTCTCGGCGAAGAACGCCCGCTCCTCGCCGCAGATGTCGCCGTTGCTGCCGCTGCCTGAGGGGTGGTCCATGTGAGGCCCCATCAACACCGCCGCCCCCAGCGAGCAGACGGCATATGCGTCTGCGGCCGCGCTGAAGGGGCTGTAGAGGGCGGGCGATGGGCTGGCCGTCCTGCGGGTGGTGCGATGGCTGATGATGGCCCTGGTCGTGAATGCGGAGACACGGGGAAAATAGGCCGACAGATATAAAATGCAGGCAACGATTCTGAAGTCTGACACAGAGACACAGCATTCGTTTAGGCTTCCCTTTACAAGAAAAGTTGCACGTACCGTCACGATGCTGGTGCGGCGGGATCGGCGCGACAAGATGCCTCAACACCACTTCCGTCTTCCAGCGGTAAACACTGTCTCCTTGATTAAAGCCCGGATGCGGATGTCCATCTGCAGTCCCTTTGGCTGCCACCCGTCTCGCCAATCTGGCAGAGGGCCTCCGGCCAACCGGTGGCCGTAAACAAAACCACCCCAGATGTGCTGAATGAAGCATCAGCAGATAAGGACAAAGAGGAGGATGTGTGAAGGAAGTTGAAGAGAGCACGTACCTGCTTCAGCTCGAAGTTGGTGGAGTGCATATCAGAGCTTTTCAGCCATTCGTGCAACTCCTCCCTGACCACACTCAGTTGCTGCATGACAGCAACAGACGACACAACACCAGACACATCGATGCGCGCGTCCACTGCATGTGTGTCTGCGTGCGTGCGTCTCAGCTCTTTCCCCCACATACCTCTGCGATGAGTTTAAAGTGGGACGCGTTGTAGATCATCTTGATTTTCGTCACGTCGAGGCCTCGTGTCGCGAGACCACTGCACACCCAACACAGGGAGGCATGACGCACACATTGGGAACGGACAAGCGAGACATGTGATCGATTCACTTACGGGTGTTGCAGGGCGAGGTCCATTGCGCCGTGGTCGTACGGCGAATCGCCCAAGCAAAGCGCCTTGTTGACGTGAGGCCGGCGGAGCAACTCCTCGGCCATCGTCAGGCCCTGAGGGAATTCGTTCATCGAATCGACACACACACAAGACCACCCACTTGCACACAACAAAGAACCCGCCACATAGCCATTCATTCTGATGTGCTTGCCTTGCACGTGAGTGTGTCGACCATGGGCAGCGGGGGGTCTCGCTGCCAGGTTGGAAAGCGCGCCTGGTCTGGGCGGCTGGCGTCCGCCAAACATAGGGCCCAGGGCGCGCTGCTGCTGCCGGGGCGGTCGCCACAGTTGAGGCCGTCGGGCGTGCGATACAGACACCCCTCCCACTCCCCGCTGAAAGCCACTAGGTGGCCTAGCCCGACTCATTCCCTCCCTAGGGAGTCGCGCAATATTGGGGCGATAATTCGCCGTCGGTGGTGCGGTGGGCGCTGCGCGCTGCTGCTCCTGCTGAAGGCCCGCCCTCGATTGTGATGGCCGATAGCCAAAGTAAATGGGCGGCCTGTTGGTGCTGCTGTAGGGGGCTGGCTGAGGCGCAGTGGCTGCCAGTGGTTCTCCGTGTGTGTGGCAGGTGGCGAGTCCTGACCGTGTTGCCACGGACGCGCCTCTCCCAGCCCTTGTCGGGCCACTGGCTGCTCGGCAGCGGATGCAGCAGATGGACGAGTGCGGCTGTCGTCGGTATTGGCCTTCTGCGAGGACTTGTTCGAGCTCCGACAGCACAAGCACTCGTTGAATCCGATGCACCGCATGAACTTGCCGTAGCAGCTCAGTTGGCCTTGGTCACCAGAAGCCTCCGGCGTCTGCGGTCCAGGGGGCTGCTGGAGGGGTGCAGACGGGTGCCGCCTCTGGGTGGCATTGGCTGGCCGCAGCGGGGCGACGGCGGGTGCTGCGTGGCCGTAGAGAAAGAGAGGATAGCCAGGCATTGGTGGAAGTGGGGTGTGGACGGGTTTGCGATATCTGCGCTCGACGCCATCTGGTGCATCCTGTTGCAAAGCCTGGAATTGCTGAGGAAGTGCGTCGACTGAGGATGCTGACGGGTGAAGAGCTTCCGTAGAGGGCTAGGGAGCGCTCCACGCTCACGAACTCTGGACGCGCCATCGCCAACACCAGCCCGCATCATCTCGCGCCCTTGTTCGTGGACAGACAGACTGTCGCCCGCAGATATCGCCCCCGACGCCGCCCCGGGCCCATGCAAGGATGCAGCAGGTCTGCGACTGTCCAAGTCCTCGCCAATAGCCGCCGCGGGGGATAATCAGGTGAAGATGCCAGTGTGCCGAGGGCGGCGAAGGCCTGACAGTGCCAGACGTGTAGAATCTCAACGAAAAGGCTGTTCTACCTTGTCCTCGATGACAGAAAGGACATCGTCTCAAAAAGCCGTCTCCCGGTGAGAAAATCTCGCCTTCACAAAAACGTGCCATCCGGCTGGGGGCGTCTCAAGACTCTGGGGCTGTCATTTTCTCGGGTTGGTGACCCGCGTTTCTCGTTCCTCAATTCTCCGCGATGAACAAGCTCCCAGAAGGTGTGTTCAATACTCTGTGTAGTTTCCTCGAGCCCGAAGAGGCCGCGGCAGTCCCCCGCGTCAGCAAGGCCGTCCACCAGACCATCACGGTGGCCGTTGCGAGGTACCGCATCCAGCAGCTCATCACCGCCAACCACATCGGCCACATGCTGGGGCTGCGTGAGCCCCGCCTGCGGTCAGCCCGCAAGAAACTGACGCAGATGGCGTACATGCTGGAGCACGCCGGTAACATCGTCAGCTGGGGGGAGGTATGCATTCACGTCATTGCAAACAGAGCACATGATGGACGTGCATCCATGATGCAGCGGGTATTTGTGGACTTTCTGAGTTCTGTGCAGTTGTTCGTGTACGCCAAGACGTGCGGTGTGGTGGAGGCGCTGCCCCTGCGGCTCGGTGAGGAGGTGGAGGATGTGCATAAGGCCGACTTTGACCGTCGCCCCGAGAGCATGCGCCAGCTCTCACTGTTCAGCCATGTGCTGAAACCCAGGAGTGAGATGCTGCTGACCCACAAGAAGGTCCCGAGGGGCGGGGGGTGAAGAAGGACAAGCTGGGTGCCGACTTTGTGACTGTGTATGGGCCGCCGGACGGGATTGTGTCACCCTTGCCCGACGAGCACCCGATCGCGACCGGCGCCCTGCCTTACCAAGCCAACAACCCGCCCGTCCGCGGTACGCGGCACACAGAAAGATCCTCACGTCTCGCCCGCTCCAATCCAACTGATGTGTCTTTGATCATTGGCTGCAGTGGGTGTCCATTACTACTTGGGGATCCGAGATGCGATCGTGGACCGGTGGGTGGGAAACGATGGTGGCCTTTCCAAATAGCATCACCCCGTTTTGTTGTCATTTCCTTCTGTGTGTGCGTGTCTGGGTGTGTGTGTTTGCAGTGTGCAGCAGCGTGGTCCGTTCCGCCCAGTGGTGATAGTGGCCCACCACTCCTACGACCCCGACGGTGCCGCCGGAGAGGAGCGCACAGACGAGCTGGCTGTACAGGTATGCAGAGAATATCACACACAACACACAACACAGCAACCCCCAAATGAAGATGTCTTATGGATCCGTGTAAGCAGGACCCGTCGACCCCCTTCTGGGGTCAGCAGCGGCTGACATCATCCCGCTACACGCCCGACGTGACGAGGCGCACCATCACTCTGGCGGGCACTCAGGCCGGAGATCCCTTCCCCTGCTACATCCAGCTGACATCGATGCTCCTCTACTCGACGGCCACCCTCTACACCACCGAGCCCCCCCAGCCCAATGCCAACTACAACGTGTACCTGAACCAGGGCGACCCGGCAGCAGCCTACCCATGGACAGTGGCCATGGTGCGACAAGCACTCGGCCAGCAGGACGCTCAGACACTGCTCCGCCTGTGAGACATGGACGGAGGCATATGGCTGGAGGGAGGGATAAGGGGAGAGGGAGAAAGAGGGAGGGACCAATATATATTGGGAGGGACGGTGGTGATGGCAGATACGTGTGCATACATGACCTGACCAACGTGACATGACGAATTCGGACTGAATGTGAGCATGCTTCATGCTTTGGATCAAGTCTCGCACATCCAGCAGTATGCAGACAACCAGTCAACAACAATCATGCATTAGATCGGTGCCCCAGTGAGTCTTTTGTATCCCTCAATCATCGCCCTTATCCCCTCCACCCCATCCACCCCGCCAACCCCTCCATTAAGCTGCAGCACCTCACCCGTATCACCCACAAACAACGCAGCCCCATCGCTGCCCGTCAACTCAACGTCGGGCACGTCCATCTCCAGCGCCGACACGCCACAATATGCCCCTTCGTCATGTGCCGAGACCCGCGGCCTTTTTCCCTTCTCAGGGGCGGTGCGACATCTCGGCGGGGCAGCCGTGGGCGTCTTATGTTGAGGCGAGGAGGGCCGTCTCCTCGGCGAGGGGTTGGCGTTTGGTGGCAACATCGGCATTTGCGGTGGCTGGATCCGGCCGTCCGGCTGCGCCGTCTGCGGACGACTGAACAGTGCCTCTGTCTCGTGCAATGACCGCTGAAGCAGCTCCAGGTTTGCTGCATTTCGTTTCAGCATTGCCTCTATGTCGTCATCGCTCCCTCCGCCAGAGCCATTTGGGCTAGCCGGAGCTGCATCGTCGATCGACACGGGCTGGTCCTCCTGGATGGTGACCAGAGAGCTGGCACGCCGACTTCGCCGGGCACCTGGAGAGCAGTCGAGAGACGGCTGTGTCCTGCTACCCATGCAATTAGAGGATTCCGCATTGGCAGTGAAGGGCCGTGGGATCGAGGACGATTCATCGCCCGTGTCTGCTCTCTGAACACGAGCACACAAAGATGAGACATGATTGGATGGATCCACCACATGTTTGGATATTTGCATACCGGTCTAAGCTTCCTGCCCAACCGCGCCTCATACAGGTCATTTCTGAGCTGCCCAACGTGCTCGACCGTCCTGCCCAGGCGCTTACGCAGCATCCTGTTCTCCAGCCGCAGACTCGACACATCATCAGTATCCTCACTGCTGGCTGCAGGCAGGTCATCACACTCGTCAGTCTGCCCCTCGTCGATCTGCTGTTTGAGACGCCGGTTCTCCCCCATAAGTGAGTAGACATTGCGGTTCTCAACCTCCAGAGAGGTGACCTTCGCCTCCAGGACGCGAATCTGCTGCCGCAGTGCTTCAAGACCACCCGTTTCCACGCTCTCTTCTGCATTCATGTCCTGGATGTCTTCTTCTGCCGACTCACTGCCGATAGACACATGTCGCCCTTCTGATGTGATGACCGGCTCCTTGGCCGGTGCCGTAGAGGGCCGCGGGAGATCACGAAGCCAAGAGCCGCAGTCATTGTCTCCATCCCCCTGGTCTTTTGCCTCCTTCTTGCCACATTGGACGAACCGCTCCGCCACTCTGCGAGTGGACTCATCCACCTCCATCTCATCCAACTTGATCAGCGAGGGCACGGCCGCGATAACCCGGTACTGACAGGTGGACGAGGGAGCAGACACGGCAGCAGCCGGCAGGGCGAAACATGCCGGAGTAACGCGGCCGGGTACGGCCGCCGAGGGTCGTGTTGATGGGCTGGTGGATTGTGTCGATGTGTGGTCCTCTGATGACTGAGTAGTCCCCATACAGGGGTTGCCGTTGAGGTCCAGCTGCTCTAACAATGGAAGGGTGCTTAGGCTCTCAATCACCTTTCCCAGGTCGGCAAGGCTGTTCCGAAACAGGCACAACGCCTGCAGCTCCTGACAAGCCTCGATACCCTTGATGGACATCACTTGGTTGTGGGAGGCGTACAGCGACTCCAGCTGGGGGCACTCGAAGGCTGGCGACAGATCCCTCAGCTGATTAAAGTTGAGGTTCAGCGACCTCAGCCTGACGAGGTGCTGCAATGGACAGATGTCCGTGAGGGCGTTGTGCGACAGAGACAGCACCTCCAGGCTCCTCAGCCAGCGGAAATCCACCGAGTGGAGTCCATCGAGGCGAGCAATCCCGGCACCTCTTACTATCAGCGTGTCGACTTGAGACAGGACCGTCTCGTCATCCCCGTCGGAGCCGGATAGCTCGGCCACGAGGGCAGCCGAGAGTTCGTTTTCAGCGGCTTCCTTCTGTGAAGGCGAGATGGGCGGAAGGAAGAGGCTCTCGGATGAAAGTCGTTTCAGCACTCTCCTCTCTCCCTCGGTGCTGCGCACAGGGTTGATGGCGCGTGGCTTGTTCGCCGCACTCAGCATGGCTGAAGGACCCCGAGAGAACTGAACTGGTCAATTGGAACTGGTTGGGAAGTTCAACCAAGATTGTCTGGCCTTCGGGACACAGCAAGTCTATATAGGTGAATGTCGTGGCCGAGATTGCCTCCCGTTCTGGCGTCTCGCCCCCAGACCCCCACGCGAGCTTTTCTTTCCTCGGACTTCCCCTTTTGATGCTGAACACTCGGCTCCAAGGCCTTCTTGTGCTTCTCTTCGTCAGCAGGGGAATCCGCGAACACTTCGCTGCGGCGTTTGTGCTGAATGCAGCTGGGCGGAACGAAAGATCGGTACTGCGTGAGTGAAGCAACATACCAGCACACAGATCTGCCACTTGTCTGTTCGCTTTCTTCAGTTGCGGTTGCGAGGGACTCATCGCACAGTGCCGACAATGAAGGTTCTTTGTGTCGGTGCTGCTGGAGTCGACTTTCTCGCCCGTGTAGCGGCTTATCCGGAGCCCGACGACAAGATCAGGACAGAGTCGCTCAGCATAGAGGGAGGCGGCAACGCCGGCAACACATGCACGGCCCTCTCTCGGCTGGGTGTGAAGTGCGGCATAATCACGTGTGTCGGAGACGACAGCAACGGGCAGACCATACTCAATGAGCTGCGTGAGGACGGTATCGACACAAGCCTGGTCCTGACCTATCCTGGCGTCCCCTCGCCATTCACTTATGTGATCGTCGATGAGGCTGCCAAGACCCGCACGTGCATCCACACGCCCTGCCCGAAGGAGATGGGGGCGAATGATGTAGCAGACGACATGTTTCGGAGGGATGCGGGCATTCGTTGGGTACACTCAGATGCGAGGCAACCAGCGGCCGCCTGTCGACTGGCTGAGTTGGCCAAAGAGGCTGGCGTGACGATCTCACTGGATGCAGAAAAGGTGGGCAAAGACGATGATGGTCTGGTGTTCTCTCCATTTCATTGGTTGGCCTCCCTTCGCTCGTTGCTCAGGATCGTGAAGGGCTACCAGAGCTCCTCGCTCTCGCGGATGTCCTGTTCACCAACAGCCGCTACCCCAAGCAGTTCGCCCCGTCTTCTTCCCCTTCCTCCTCCCCCAATGCGCCGGTGGACTCATCTTTCCTGCACGGAATGCGTCATCTGTCTGCCAAGTGCCCCACGAGGCGGCTTGTGTGCTCCACCCTCGGCGAGCGGGGGGCTGTGATGCTCATGCCCTGCCCCTTTCACCCCTCCCTCCATGTCGATGGCCCTTCACCCTTACGCTCCCACGTGCCCGTCAAGCTGCGGTATGCCACTGTGACCACTGACGAGATCGCTTTGGTCGATTGGTGCGACGAGCCGCCAGCAGTTGATGCATTGAGTGGCGAGGGCTGTCATGCAGCGGTGCACTGCAGCGCGTGGCCCATCGACGAGTCGGAGATCGTTGACACGACGGGGGCCGGGGACGCCTTCATCGGCGGTGTCATCTTCGGGCTGCTGAGGGGATGGTGTGTGGAGAGGGTGCTGGTGTGGGGTGGCCTCATTGCGCACGAGAAGTTGAAGCACCAGGGGGCGCGCAGCGGGCTGCCGAGATTAGACAATGAGAAGCTTGCTGAGCTGCTGGGGCAGTTCGGTAGAGCCAAGTAGGACGTGAGGCAGCAAACGGCCGAGACCACGAGACTGGATGATATGTCGATGTGACATACCTACTCTGTGAATTTGTGTCCACGTCTAGAAGTGCTGAGTCCATCTGCAATGGAAAAACGGAGGAAAGCTGCGAGCTAAGCCTGCAGGAAGATCCCGTCACGAATCCGTCTGGACGATGCGGCTGTTCAGAGGTCTCCACCAGCTGGTGACGCAACTTGTCGTCGCAGTTGTCGTCTTCTCTTCAACAACTCATTCTTTCACTGCCTTCACTCCCTCGCTTACACGACTGCAGCAGACGGCGCAACGACCATCCCACCTGTCCCACAGCGACAGGAGATCTCTCGGCAGCGGGTTGCTGAAGGCGTCTGAGCCACGACACGACGCTGCAACCGATGCTACCCAGCCTTTGCAGAGCCTCCTGCGGAGTGTGTTGCTGCCTTTTGCCCTCGTTGCTCTCGCCAGCCTTCCCATCGACCCGGTCATTGGCGCAACACGGGGTGAGGATGTTTTCAACATCAACTGTGCAGCGTGCCATGCTGGCGGTGGCAATGTGATAGCGTCGGCTCGTGCCGGCAAGACACTCAAGAAGGGAGACCTCATCGGCAACAAAATCTATGACGTCGACAAGCTCTATCAGGTGACCTACTATGGCGTGGCGAACATGCCCGGATTTGGCGAGAGCTGCAACCCGAAATCACGGGTGAGGGACGAGAGCCAGCCGTTGATATGAGTCTGCACCGTCCGTGCATGTGTGTGTGTGTGTGTGTGGTGTGTGCAGTGTACCTTTGGTCCGAGGTTGACTGATGAGGATGTTGCTGCTGTGGCGGAGTATGTGCTGCAGGAGGCTGAGAGGGGGTGGAGATGAGATGATTGATGGCCACCCAACCAGGCAGACAGGCACTAAGTGCTCACGGTGAATGATGAGTGGACGGAAGCGACAGAGGCTTTGAGAAAGCGTGTGTACAGTGAGAGTAGTGTGCAGTCAGGATCCATAGACCGCTGACCGGCAGGCGTTGCATGGTACCCATGAGGGACACATATTATCTATGTATCGTCATCACACAGCCGTCTGTCCTTCGGCCGAATAACCCTTATCTATCATCATCGCACACAGACATATCTCATCTATACGTCAGCCCTGCTGATGACGGCCGACTATGCGCCTGCTGTTGCTGCCTCTTGGTGGCTGAGGTGGGTCTCGACACTGCAGATGTGGGCCGGGATGGCTCCAGGTGTGTGGAGCGGCCCGGCGATGATTTGCCGGTGCGATGTGAGCTGGGGGGCATCCCTGCCTCGCCGCCCCATCCCTGCCTCGCCTTGTAGGGAGCCTTATTGGAGTAGTCAGGCAAGTGCGTGGGGTGATGGGACACAGGGGCCACACGAGATCTGCAAGCCGACACTCACACACAAGGCACACAAAGGCATGTGAGGTTTGTCGTTTGCACGTATGTGTGTGCGTACCCTTGGTATGTGTCAGGTCTCGAGAACACAGGCGTTTGAAATGCCGCCTCCTCTGCGGCAGTTGCACATGGCGGAGGGTCCGACAAGTCTCCCTTCTCTGCTAGGTGCACGTCCTGATGGGCCAGCAGCCCGCCCCACTCGTCCTTGACCTCCTGAAACCACTCGTTCCAGTTACCCCACGCCGCGGGCGGCTCCCCGCCATCTCCCTCTCCCTCGCCTTCGTCATCACCAAGGTCAGCTTCTCCTTGCGGCGGTGGCCCCACTGGTGTCTCCGTCTGCATCATGGGCTGGTGAAGGCTCGGCGACGATCGAGACGGCTTCATTGATTTGCCTGGTGGCTCCTCGAAGGGCGGGGGGTAGACGAGGTACTCGGCGTTCTTGATGGGGATGTCCAACCGCTGACTTGCGATATTCCACTCGTCGGTTGCCTCACTGAAGTGCAAACATGGACGTTTGACAGCATAGGTCCGATTGTGTCTCTCTCTCGACTCACTCGGCAGGGCTTGAGAAGTAGAATCTCTCGTTGATATGTGCATGTCGGTTCCGCCGCGACTTGATGACCTGGTGTCTCGGGTTCCAGCCGTGCGCCAGCCTCCTCAGACATCCCCAGGCCTTGGCAGCGCTCGCGTCGTGGAGAGCTGTGTCTTTGAACAAGCCGGAGCGATGCAGAAAGTGATAAAACTCGGCAAACTGTTATCAGACACGGAGGGAAAGCAATGCGGCGAACTGCGTGGAAAGGGTACCTTGCGATAGAGTTCTAGGTTGTAGTTGAATCGTGTCCTTCGATAGTCCCGCACCAGCCTTGCCAGCTCCTCGTTCCGCGCGTGCACCTTGACCATCCTGCATCCAAGACGCACACACAGCAGACAGACCAGGGCATGCGGCCATTCATACAAGGGAACTAGGTCTTTTGAAGACCTCACTCGCATCATGGAAAGTGTGGCTGTTGGCCAGCAGTGGTGGGGGCAAGGAAAGCTACTAGAGCTATGTATAGACGGCACGGCACATGTAGTCGGAGTCTATTGACAGGCACATGGATAGGATGGATGCACAAAAGAAGAAGAAAGAGTGTCTGAACTGCATGCACATACATATGTCTCAGCGGAGATTGGCGGATAAAGCGGTGGTTACATGAACAGAAAGCCGGGCACGATGTAACGAGACTACTCTACTCTTCTGCCTTCTACATGTCCGGTGCTCCCCGACCCCTACGGAAATGTGTGTCTCCCTCCTTTTCATCACTTCTATCTGTCATTCCCACTCTAAATGTGGTGTGTAGGTGTGGACAATGTCTGCCTACCCTCTTAGTAGTTTGATGGCCTTCTGCTTGATCTCATCGAGCTGCTGCTGCGTGGCCTCTCGGCTGTCCAGAAGCGCACCATACTCGGCCTCCCATCTCGACAACTCAGCCAGACGATGCGACTTCTCCTCTAGATCACCCTGACATACACACAGACTCACATCAATACAAACGATGCGTGTATATGTCCCTTCTCACCTGTAGCTCTCTGATGGTGCAATTGAGTCTATCTACTTCTTCAACGTGTGCCGCCTCCCTCTCCTGCGATCTCTCCCCCTCCTCGTGCAGCTGGTGCTCCAGCTTCTGGATAGTCCTCTCCAGCTGGTCTCTGTCCTTCAGATTCATGTGGGCCTCGTTCTTGGCCGCGTGCAGCAGATTCAGCAGGTCCTCCACCTTTTGTGCATGCTGATTGATGAGTCTTTGTTGGGTTTGCTGACTGTTGGCCCCCTGGTCCGTCAGCTGCTGCCGGTAGTAGTCTTCCTGCTCCTTGGCGCTCTTCCTGGCGTCGTTGAGCTGCCTTGTGAGATCCTTGATACGCTCGTCAAGCATTGACTGCAGACCATCCGCCCTCTGCCAGCACGAAAAGAAAGCGATGGGTCCTGTGGGCACCTACAGGTAGGCACGAGTACCTCTCTGTGGAGCGTTGCGATCTCCCTCTCCTTCTCAAGTTCTGTCTCATATCGTTTCTGCGCCTCCTCAGCCCTGGTCTTCCACTCGATTTCGGCACTCGTCACGGCAGCCTGCAAACACCAGACAATAGTTCTTCTTTCTTGTGCAGATGCCTGTCTTACTTTGATGGCAGCGGCGTGTTGGTCATCCATCCGCTGCTGCTGCAGCTTGGCAGTCGCGTCGGTGTCTTTCTCCTTCTCCAGCCTCTCGCATAAGAGAGAAAGCTGGCCGTTCTCGCGCAGGAGGTGATCTCGCTCCTCAGCCAACTTCTTGCTGGAGGCAGTCTGCTCCTCCACTGCCTTGCGAAGGTGCTCTAGCTCAGTCTGAGGTGACAGTTGAGCAGGAGAGAAAAGGAGAAGTTGGCCGGTCAATCGTTACCTGAGCTTTGGCCATGTCGAGGCGGAGCTGCGCCTGCTGTTCGCTTCTGGCCTCGGTCTCTTTCTTGCTGTGGGTGGACGCTTGCCTCGCCTCAATGAGCTCATCCACCAACATCTGCTGCCGACGACTGAAAAGGCGGCACAGAACTGTCCATGGATGCTTCATCCTTCAGATGTCTCACCACCCACCTAGCATTGTCCAGAAGGCCCTTCCACATGGAGCTTGGCAATGGCAGCCACGGGTCTTTTCCATCGACACCCCGCTCGTAGCCAGCGGCAGCATGATCTGCCTCCTGCCTCTGGTCAGGCCCGTAGCCACCCTCCCTGTGGACGCTTCTGAACTGTTCCACAAGATCCTCAAAGCCCCTTGGCAGATGCACCCCCACTGTCTGGAAGAGGAACAGACGCACCATACGCAGATGAGCCATGGAATGTGTATGCCGAGCCACCTTATAGTGCGTGCCGGTCGTCTCGTCGAGGGGCTTGACGATAGTCCTCTGTCGACCGTCGGGGCGGAGTGAATTGAGGTTGTCCCGCTGTACAACGACTGACTGCGGTGTAACGGCGTCGAGCTGGAGGGAGTCGGTCGTAATACCGATAAAAAACTCGTAGTCGACCACTCCCTGCTGGCCGCCATCGGAGCTCTCTGTGCCTCTGACTGCAACCGTCAGCTGGTTGGCTTCCTCTACGAGAGGCTGAAGGGCCTCGACTTGACGCTTGAGCTCTGCCGCCTTCTCCTCCCCATAGAGCTTGAGAGCCGTCTTCTCCCAGTTGTCGGACGTGCTGTGCCGCCGAACAGCCCTGTGAGAGAGGGAGACAGACGAAATGAGTGATGATTCACTGATGAATCAGGCGTGATGTTTGCTGCTTGTCGCACTTGGCGTTTATTTTCTGCAACTCGTCCATGACGGTGCCGTAGAGCTGCTGATCCTTTTTGTTGTCTTGCTCCAGCAGCTGAGGATCCTCAACGTAGCGCACTACACCACGCAGACTCACGATGCAGGCACTGTCAATAAAGCAGGACGGTGAACGACGGATTACGTACGTGGGAAGACCATGCGGAAGACCTGTCCCTGTCCGAAGACGATCCAATCGCCGTGCTGGAGCTCAAGCTCCTCACCCGCACGCAACACACGACCGTTGACCACCACGCTGCCTAATACACGACATGATACAAGGACAACAGTGTCAATCGTTGCGAGAGGTGCTCCCGTCGTGTTTCGATACCAAGTCCGCCCTCCATGGCGTCGCTGCAGGCTTCCAGGAACGCCTGCTGAGCTAGCCCATCAGAGAACGCCATTATTCCGCTGGGCGACACAGACTGCTGACTCTCATGCCCGTGGAACTCGTGATCAGCTGACGCCGCAGACTCCGACAGCGACTCACTCTCGTCTTTCTCTGCGCTGCCAGTCTCATCTGCCGGTGCCATATCCTCTTGTCTCTCGTCTTCTTGCTGCAACACAGGGTTGCCGAACGGCCCTTCCACGAGGGTCACTCGGCGCGCAGAGCCTCTCGCCGCTGGTGACGAGGACGCAGAGCCGCGCAGAATGGATCGTTGGGGCGAACCGACGGCAGAGGACGAGTCACCCGATGAGAAGGATTCTCCGCTCGGCTGTACCTGGAAGGCCACCGTAGGTGCTGTGCTGATGGGCAGCATGAGGTTGGCCCCTTCTGGCAGGGTAGGGGGCTTCTCCTCGGGGGGTCGCCTGAGTCGACAGTGAGCTGGCAGAATGCCGAGGCCCTGCAGGACGAGCTCGCACGTGAGGTCGGTGCCGATAGTTTGTGAGGGCTGGCTGAGCACAAGCTTGATTTTGTTGTTGAGGATGGGATCCACGGATATGTTGGTGAGAAAAGGCGTCATGATCGACCCGCCGCCACCCAGATGATGACTCATACGCCGCTGCGTGAGAGAGAAAGAGACAGAGACGCCACGTCAGTCAATGCAGTGGGCACTTGTTGTCTATCTCCACCCGTGTCCGCGTGTCGTCGCGTTGTGCGGTGGCACCGTAGCCCGTGGCCAGACCCTGGAGAGACCACGGATGAGTGTCAACTCCTTCGTGAATCTCTGTGTATCTTCGCTCCTCTGGGTCACCTTGAGTATCTCCGCAAACTTCTCGACGTCTTGTATTTCCTGTATGTCCTTCATAAGCGTCTCAAGCCGACCATCCTCATTCATCGCCAGCCCCGACTTCAGACTGACAAAAACACACTAGTACGAAGGTGCTCGGTGACTTGGGCTACGCACCTGTTCATGTATTTCCGCAAGTCATCGAGCAGGGCCTGCGGTGTTTTGTTGATACGCGGCTTGACTTTGATGCGGGACATGAGCTCGGCGAAGCGCAAGGTGGACAGGGTGTACTGCAGGTCCTTCGAATTGGGGCTGATATTGGCCAGCAGCGCTGTCCGGCTGTTGCCTTCCAATGAGTCCGACAGAAAGTAGGTCAGCTTTGAGTCTCTGTAGGCAATATGGCCTGCGAAAGAGACACAGACGCACAATTCAGATACGAATACAAATGCCGATGGGGCTGCTGTCTCTTTCCTACGCTGCTTCGTCTCGCTTCCCGGGATGGCGAACTCGGCCATTTTCTGCTGTTTCTGTTTCTCCACGATCTGGTTGATGACGATCGACAGCTGCAGGAGCCCCTTGTTGATATACCTTCCCTCTGTCTGCCTCTCCTGCCCCCCACGGACGTTGGACACATTCTCAGCACCAGCCAGATCCACCAGGTGGAGACGGCCAGCGCATTCACCCACCCTATTAATGTAGAGGGTGACTATGGCGTGGCTCCGGGAGCTGTGGGCATTGAGGCCCGTGTTGGCCGTCGAGCGGGACCGCAGGCCATAGGAGACATAGGTGTTCAAATCCTGCACGCACACCGCAAACAAGGAAATGAGAAAGCGGAAGCGAGTTTTTCCTACATACATTGATTGACGTGACGACAGGCTGAACGGCACCATTAAGGAATACGCCGATGGTGGGGTGAGTGTGAACCTGGCAGGCTGCATCTTGGTTTGGCAATGCCAGCAAGTCACGCACCTTCTCATGATAGATCTGTTGTATGTTCACACACACACACACAAACGCCCCCAGTCGTCCAAGAGCCTTCCATATCTATACACACACGTGCGCACCTCAATGAAGGTCATGGTAATGATGACCTTGCCCTTCTCGATTGGTTTTTCGGTCTTCTTTCCTTTGGCCGACACCGTGGGCTTAGATATCGACCCGCTGTGCATCACACTGCCTGTCTGGCCGAGCCTCTTGAACACCTCGGCCGTCAGGGCCGCCCTTGGCTTGGAAGCGTCTTGGAGTGGCACCTCCATCGTGAGCGCGCCTTCGTCCTCCTGCATGGATTGGACCATCCATCAATCCGACTGGCCTCTGCTGTGTGCATGTGATTACCTCGGCGTAGTCCAGCAGTTTGTCTGACTTTTGTCTCTGCAACAGAGTGAGTGCCGGAGAGGGCTTGACGGACCCAGGGGTGACAGCTGGCGAGTGACCTAAGTCTCTGTCGTCGCTGCCTGTCCTTGGCAGCGACCGAAGGCCGTGGGCTAGCGACTTTCGTCTTGCGACACCGCGGATGTCCCCACGGTTCTTCTGAGCCAGCTGCTGTCTCCTATCGTGCTCGGCCACAATCTCAAAGAGCTTTGTCGCGATGCGTGGCAAGAGGCCGGGATCGGTGTCGGTACCCACGACCGAGTGGCTTTTCCCTGACCCCGTTTGTCCATAAGCCAAGAGGCACGTGTTGAACCCCCGCCACGCACTCTTGAGCATCATCCGCCCCATGGTCTGGTACACCTCACGCTGACCCGCATACTTGTCGTTACTGCGGTCAACTGCATACACACGAAGAGAACGACATTGAATGACAGAACGACGCTGTGATTTGGTGGTTCTCTGGTCTGTGTTACTTAGTACCAGAGTTGAATATATGGTCGAAGAAGTAGTCTTTGTGTCTGTCCAGTAGACACAAGACAGTCCAATGACAACCTTTCATGTCTTTATCAGTACCTGATGCCGGGCTCTATCTGGCCCTCCACACTGCCATCAGACGGAAGCAGCACCTGCTCACGACATGCATTCAATCACACCAGCATGCGGTCAGCCAGTTGTCTCTCTTGCATACTCACCTGCACACATCTCTCGGTAAGGCATCTCACAGGCGAGTCCCCTGGGTGCTCCTTCTCTTTTGGCAGGTAGGGCCGCACTCTCACTGCCACTTTATGCCGCTCCTCCGGAGCATCCATTGCCGTCGACTTGTCAAGCACCATCACTCAATTGTCGGCGGAGAAAAAGGAAAAAGCCGAAGACTGGGCCGGGGGCACGGTGGGGGCCTCCGCCTGACGACTCGGAGCAGAGGAATTCCCCCGATCCGTGGCTGACTGAAGGTCTCGATTGAGGTCTTTGAGACCTTCACAGGTGCTCATTTTTGACGAGAATCCGTCATTTTCCAGCTGATCGAGTGAGGGTCGAACCACCGTTTTTCTCGCTTTTGACGCATCCGTTCTGCGATTTTATTGTTGGATCTCCTCGTGGGGAGTCACACATACTTGCCAAAGGGAAAAACCAGCCAAAAGGGAAAGATCCAAGATTTGCGAGCTTCTCTGTTAACGGCCGGAACCCTGACAAAGATCTACCCTCCTCCTCCATGAATATGAAGGCCACCATCTTCGCCGTGCTCTCCTTGCTCGTGTGCGGCTTCGCATCTACCCGGCAGCGACTGCGAGGACTGGGCGAAGATGGTGCGCCAAGACCTCTCATCTGGAGGGTAGGCGCCATGCACCAGCCGTCAGACACACAGATCTAGGCACGCACGAGGCACGGCACTGCCTGCATGGTGCTGTTGTGTCGTCAGGTGGAGGATCAGGAGGGTGTGAAGGCTTACCTCATTGGCACATCCAAGTTGGGTCTGTTCTATAGGCCTTATGAGGGGGACGCCCTCTCGCTGGTGGACAGGCTATTCTACAAGGCGCAGCCAGATGTCGTCGTGGGGGAGGATGCCGGCAGTGAGGAGGAGGAGCCGCTTCCCGACATTCCGCTGCCTCTGGCTCGGACCCTGTTTGACCAGCTGGACAGCTACCCTGTGGTAGAGGAGCGTCTGGGCCGCTTGCATGACCTCGTGGAAGGCCTTAGCACCAGTCCCGAGCAGTACGACGTCGACGAGCAGTGGTCGGGGGAGATCATGAACTCGACGCCCTTCGGATCTGCTATCGCCCTGCACTTCCTGCTTGAGAGGAACTATATGTTCAACTGTGCCATGGCGTCCGACGGGCTCTCCCTTGCCGGCTACATCGGCTCTCTCGGCACACGAGAAGGCGCGGCCGCGGCAGCCATCGAGACGCAACGCGAGGCGGGTCAGTCGCTTGACTACTCGAGGGACATTCCACTCGACACGCAGATGGTCTACCTGAACATGACTCTGGCGGTTTACGAGGCCCTCACCAGGAACTTCACCAGGTACCCGCCGTCCACCCTGACGACGCCGCAGTCGCCCGTCGTCTACGCGTGGAAGCAAGGTGACCGGGCCATGCTGGAGCGGCTTTTCGCCTTCGAGGAGTGCGGCCTTAATTTCGCCCCGCTCAAGGACATCAACGCTTCCAAGGGGTCGTTCTACTATGAGGGATACTTCAGCGACGAGCTGCTGGGCGAGCTGGAGGCCCGTCAGGCTGCGTGCCGCGACAACGAGCAGCTGCAGGAGCTGTTCTCGGCGGCCAACCGTACCCGCAAGGAGGCCACCAGCCGAAGGAATCAGCTGTGGCTCGACAGGGTGCTCTTCCTCCTGGCCAATGGCACGAGGGAGGCGGTGACGGACACCAATGGGACGACTCAAGCGAACGTCACGAGCGAGGGCAACTCCACGAGTCAAGCGAACGCCACAAGTGGGTCCAACTTCACACTCAACACGAGCCAGGCCAACGCCACGGGCCAGAGGAACGTCACAAACGTCATTGGTGGTGAGGGTGAGGGTCAAAGAGGTCCATGCCGGCCGCTGTTCGTCTTCGCCCTGGAATGGGTAAGAGCGCGAGAAACGAAGGAAGGAAACCACCGGCGGCCGAAACGGATGGGTGGGCATGTATGTATGGGTGTCTTGTGTGTGGTGCCTTGCCTGGCCTGCAGGATGCCCTGGTGGGGATACATGACGACGATCTGCTGCTGACTGGGTTGGAGGCTGCAGGCTACAACGTCACGCGTGTGGTGGACGCGGCTGGCATCCCGGCACGCGGCGCTGACGAGCGGTGTGAGATGACGAGCGAGGAGCTCGAGGCATTCACTGAGGGCGACGACTGGCCAAGATACGAGACGCAGAATGGAGAAGCGTAGCGTGGCGTGTCGTAACCTTTTTTTATGTCTATCGCACCATCGCAGAGTAGCTACCATCCGTGGGTGTGGGTGTGGGTGTGGGTGTGGGAGTGTTGGTGCGTGTGTCTGTGTGGGTGTATGTGCCTGGTCTATTTGGCAGCGTAGATGCGTGTCTGGTGCATGCGTCTCTGCGCCGCGCCTAAGCGGTCGCACGATGAGCCTCCTTTTTTCGCAGTCCTTTTTTGCTGCTGCCCTGCGTGGCCGACTGACGTGTGTGTGATTCCCTACCCGCGACCCAACGGTCTGATCTGTCTTTTTCCTTTCGATGTCCCAACTAATTTGCCAGCTCTGGCGTGTTGCCCAGATCTGCAGTGTGTCGCTTGTTTCATGTTGGTGAGTGGGGGGGTGGACGGGGACCGTTCCTTTGCACAATGGTGACTGCGTGATTTGGATCGATAAAAATCGCTTGAATGGATGGATGAGTGGATGAGAATGAGTGGATATGCACACACGGGAATGGCTGCAGTGTCTGTCAAGGGTCAGTCAGAGTAGTGAGTGAGTCCAGGGAAAGAAAAAAAGGCGTACACACCCATACACAACACACACACACACACACACACATCCACAGATGAGTCTCATAGAGGCCGGCAGATGTCACGCACGCACATACGCACGCGTCCCTCACACACACGCAGTACGCCGCCGGAGCCACCCTTATGCAAAACGTTGTCAACGATTGCTTATCGTATCGATCATCGGAAGGACCTTTCAGTCGCCCACTCCCCCAGCCCCGCCTCACCGTACCGCACCCCATAAGACACTGACAGACAGAAAGATAGCCACTGACATGCATCCACACAGACCGGAGGAATAGAACAAGAGTAGACGACATCCATGTACAGGTCGGGCCTACGCAACAGCCGGCCGGCTGGGCCGCGTAGGACGCTTTGCTGCACCCCCCTTGCGCCTCATCGTCAAGATCCCCAGCAAACACTTCCCTCGCCTCCCCTTTGGAACATTGTAAACACCATAGATCGACACATCCCGCCAAACCAATAGGCCGACCCTCCCTCCCTCCCTCCCTCCCGTCCGTCTTGAGCGAATCCAAACATGTACACACATGTACACAGGCCCGCGTCCGTCTCCCTGACTACACCTTTACATGTTCACAATCGCGTACCTACACAGAAAACAACACCACCTGTCTGCCTGTCTGTCTGTCTGTCTACGCGCCGCCCCTGGTGTGTCTTGTCTACGACCTTGATGACTCCTTTGGCTCAGGAGGGAGGTCAGGCAGCGGTGGGCCGGGGACGAGCAGCTCTGTGGACGAGAGCTGGTCCAGCACAAAGGCCGTCTCCAACGCGCGCTCACGCATGTGCTGCATTCCACAGACATACCACACACACACACACACACACAGCGTATCGGTGCGTATCGGTTCTTGCAATGGGTGCACTGGGTTGACTGACCCTGTATCTGTCTGAAGCGCTGAAGTGTCCCGCGGCAGTGTCGACTTTGAGGATGATCGGGTTGTCGTCCGTCTTGAAGTCACGCAGCTTCGCCACCCTGATATCGACGACATACAAACACACGCAATTCACCATCTGCTTGCGTGTGTGTTGTCACTCATGCGCACACCCACCATTTGGCCGGTTCCCAATAGGCGACTCTCGAGTCCCAGAGTCCGGCCGTGACGAACATGGCGGGGTATCGGGTGGCGCGAACGTTGTCATAGGGCGAGTACTCCTTCATGTAGTAGTGGTACTCCTTGATGTTGGGACTGACACACATCCACACATTCACATAAACACACGGGCGGATGGGATGGATGTATGTGGTTTGTGGCTTGGCTTACTTGCCCCACTCCTCCCACTCGCCAGTGGTCAGCGGAATGGACGGATCCGACATCTGCACACACGCATACACCCGTTGACGATGGACGGATCGATGCATTGCGGCCGGCCCGTCCCCACTCCCGCCCGCACTGACCGTGTTGAGGACGTCTACAAAGGGGACGGCTGTGATGACGCACTTGAACAAATCAGGCCGCAGGTTCAGTGATGCACCGATCAGCAGGCCGCCAGCACTACGACCTGCATCAAGACACACACCATACGATATGATGCGATATCTGACGCGTGTGACGTCTGTGAGAATGTGGTAGTGAAGTACCATTGATACAGATGCTCTCGGTGTTGGTGTATCCCTCGGACACCAAGTACTCCGCACAGCTGACGAAGTCGCTGAACTGAAGCCATCCATCAACACACCACACAGAGGAGGCAGACGTCGATATCGATCACCGCGTGACTTCCGTCTGTGTGCTAACCGTGTTTTTCTTGGTCAGGAACTTGCCCTGCTCCTCGTACCACTCCCTGCCCTCGTCCTCCCCGCCCCTAATGTGTGCCATGACGTACACGACCCCTCTGTCGAGGTAGCTCAGCCTGCGGTAGTCGAAGTCGGGGTCGAGCGATATCCCGTAGGAACCGTATCCTACACACACACACACACACACGCAGCCGTGAATGGGTACACGGGGTGTGCTCATGTGATGTGTGTGTGGAGGGAGGGACGGATACCGTATAGGAGGATGGGGAGACGCCCCACTTTGTGGATGCCGTCGGGGTAGATCTTGGAGCTGATCATCGCGACCAACACAACAAAAGTTACGTTATGGTCCCAGGCAGCGTCTCCCTGCCGCACGAACACGCGTACTTGTAAACGAGTGACATGGGTATCTGGGTGCCGTCGACGGCCGTGGCGTAGATACGCTCTGAGGCGTAGTCAGTCCGGTTGTAGTGCGGCACAGGCTGCTCCTTCAGCAACTTCTGATCCCTGCAAGATGGACGTAGCAGTGAGTGAGATGTGCGTGTGTGTGAATGTGTGTGCATGTGTGTGCATGTGTGTGCATGTGTGTCGTGATGGCTCACTGTGTGGTCATGTTGAAGTCGAGCGTTTGCCGGGGGGTCGTCATCGACGAGTACTGATCCATCCACCACACGCAGACACACACACACACACACAGAGAGAGAGAGAGAGACACGGATTGTCCGTGTGTGTGTGTCTGTGTGTATGTCTCGACATACCGTGACTCTGACGACGTCCGTGTCGAACTCTTCGTTGGTGCTGATGGTGATCGAGTGCAGCTCCTCGGGCCAGTCTATCTGGTACCACGTGTCTGCACGTCAGGCAGACGCACACACACACACACACCAAATGTGATGTGACACACTGGGGTAAATGTGTGGTGACATAGACAGACATGTGTGTGGGTTGCTGACCTTCCGCAGGTTTGATGATCCACATCTGCTGGTAGCCGCCCTTGCGACCCGACACTGCGATGTGATCCTGACCATCATTCACGCCAACACACACACAGAGAGAGAGGATCTTGCTGTTTGGCTGGGGATCCAAACTCACCTTGAACGGTGTGATGGCCTTGATTCTGGTTTTGGGGTCATACGGCTGCCAGTCCTTCCAGTGCTCAAACGTCGTGTTGCCCAGCGGACACCTGCACGACACACACACGCACACCCATACCCATACACACATGGATGGATGCATGGATGCATGGATGGGTGCAGCATCCGCGCCTGTCTATGTGTGGTGGGTGTGCGATCGCTCACGTCATGATTTTGCTGTTCATGGCTTTGTCTTTGTTGGTGACGATCCACCACTGGTCGCCCCACTGCTCGAGGTCGAACTGGATGCCCCTCGTGCGCTCCTGGAACAACACCAGGGGGGCACTCTTGTGACCCTCAGCACCTGACACACCCTGAGGATGTGATGCACACACGGACACAAAGAGTGTGTGTGTGTGGGGTGGATGGCTGTTGCCTCTTGACCTTGAGGTCGATGTAGTGTGCTTCGCTGGTGGGTGCGGTGGAAGAGCTCTCGACCACTATGAACCGGCTGTTCTGCGTCTTGCCGCTGCCAACACTGACACACGGAAGACAACAGACAGACAGCGGTGTTTTCATACGTGTGTGTGCGCTGGTGCTGGTTCCATACTAGAAGGTGTTGTCGTCCTCAGTGAACAGATTGACGTCCTCCGACTGGGGAGTGCCCAGAATATGACGCCAGAACTTGTAAGGCCTGCAGAGCACAGACATACACACACGCGCCGCCCGCTGTCGTGCTGTGCTGTCGGTCCTGACTTTCCCTTCTGTGTGCGCACCTGTGTGCCTCGTCGAACGTCCAGTAGTAGATGGTGGACTCGTCCGCCCCCCACACGAACGAGTCGTAGGTATCGTGCAGCACGTCATCTAACAATTCCCCTGTCGATTGACACACACACCACACATAACACTCAGTGTGGGCTCGGCAATCCCGTGCCTTGCTGATTGTGGAGTGTTAGGCACCCACCTGTGGTGGGGTTCTTGAAGTAGATGTCGTAGGTCTCGTATCTGGGCAACACACACACGACAGAGATGTGTGTGTGTGTGGATGGTCTGCCTGTCTGTGTCACATGTGGTGGGTAAACTGACTGACCCCTGGAAGTCGACCGAGTACGCCATGATCGTGTGCGATGGGCTCGGGTGCAGCTCTACACACACCAACGACACACACAAACGATCCATCACAATACGGACGTCAGTTCTAGATGGATGATCTCACTGTAGTACCAGCGACGTCGCAGAACTTCTTGCCCTCTGCGAGTTTGTTGACGTCGAGGAGTATGACCTCATCGCCGTCGAGGGTCTTCTTGCGGCAGTAGATGTCGTACGCCAGCCCCTTCACCGTACGCGAGTAATAGTACCACCCGCCGTGGGGATACGGCACCTGTCAGTCCAACAACCAACCAGCCATGTGTGTGACAGGATGGGCGACGGATGGATGGACCGTGCCCATTTAGTCAGCCGTTTCCTGACCCGCTCGTCAGTTTCCTTCATGTGTGCGAGGAATTCGCCGAAAACCTGGTCCTTGAGGGCCTTGAGTGGCTTGAGCATCTGGTCGGCATAGTCGTTCTCGGCCTCCAGGTGGGCCAACATGGCCGGGTCCTTACGCTCGCTATCCTGAACAGCACACAGCACACATAGAGGCAAAGCACATCTCTCTCATCTCTCCCCTGACAGACAGGTGAGGTGAATCGTCCACTCACTAACCCTCAGCCAGAAGTAGGGGTCCTCTGCAGTAGCCGTGTGCATCAGCACGTCACCAGCCGCACCCCTGACACACACACACAAACACACACACACACACACACACACACAACAGAGAACACATCACACACAGGAAATGAAATCAGAACCACACCCAGAGCCCCCCCTCTCTCACCCACCCCCCTCACCGCGCCTCGCCCTCAATTTTGCCGAATACGACTTTCTGCGGCAGTTTGTTGGCCTTTGGTGGTGTGGGTTTGGCGCCAGCGAGCATCCGTAGTCCCCTGCGGACCCCCCGCACCGCCCCGGTCCTCCAGAAGGCGTAGGCGGCGCAGGGTGCGATGGCTAGAGTGAGGCCGGCGAGGGCAAACATGACCGAGGGGCGCGCCATCTTGCTCATCGCTGTCATCCCTACCGCAGCCCCTTCCTTGGTTAGTTAGCCCTTCAGCCCTCAGCCGTTGCTGACGTCCGTTATGGCGGAATAGCACACGGGGAGCGGGATGAGTTCGATCTGATGAGCGGCGACGAATGCAGCGCCGCACTCCTCAACACCTTGCCAGAGCTACAGTGGCCAGATCTGTCTTCTTGTTTCTCACTCTTCTCGCGTCGATCTTTCGCTGAAGCTCGCACCTCCCCGCAGCATTCCGCGATGCTTCTGACGCTCTCGTCTGGCTGCTGCATCGTCACTGTCCTCATTTCATACTTCATCTCCGCAGATACAGCATCGGATGATGCGTTCCTTCACCAGCTGCCCACTCGCTCAGCCCATCCACCCATCCTCCCACACAGGAGGAGAAGGCACATCACAGACGCCGACGGCCCTCCATCTCGCCTTCACGCAGCCCCGATTGTGCCCGTCGACAGCAACAAGGTGAGGGCACTCGATGTCACAGAGATGGCCAGACAGGCGGCGGAGAGCACGCTGGCGGCCCTGAAGGACGGCATTGACAAGATCTGCATCGGTGAGAGAAAGAAGGCAAGGCAGCACCGAAATGAATCGCCGACCTCTTGTTCTTCGCATTTGTGTGTGGTTTGTGTCGTGTCAGAGTTTCCTGTCAAGCCAGAGAAGGGCGACGTGTCCCTCGGCGAGACCCTCGATGAGACCGTCCGATTCAGCAGGTGGCACAGCTTGCAATGCATCCATCTAATCCACATCACATCACCTCCTTCCTCTTCTGTCTGTCGCCAGCATGTGGTCTCGCCGACTTGGTGCCATCCCCAACGGCCATCTGATCCTGTTCGCCGACCCGCAGGAGCAGCGGCTGGCCTTGGAAGGCTTCGACCCGACGGCAGACGTCAGCAACATCGACAGCTACATCGAGGCACTCAAGAAAGGCAGCGATGCGGCGCCCTCCACGACAGGCCTGCAGACCTTCATGTGCCCTGGTCGGTGGGGGGGGACGACGAGCAGACAAACAGACAGAAGTGTCTTGGGTGGCTTGGTGTTGTCATGGCATGGCTGACTTGGTCAGGGTGGACGGGGAGGTACACCGAGTACGTCTCAATCGAGAAGCACTGCGCCAACATTGCCCCTACGGTTATCATCAACGGGCAGCTGGAGAGGCTGCGGAGAGGCTACTACCCCAGGTGCGTGAGCAAGCGTGATTGATGCTGTGTGTGAGCATTCGTGAGCGCACCTTAGCCAAACATCAGGAATGACTGACTGACCTGCTGCTGTGTGTGTGTTGGCTGCCCGCAGGTTCTTCTACCCCGGTGTGAACGCTGCGATGGACCGGTGGTACTCCAAATTTGAATACACATACGTCATCATCCGCGAAGGTGAGAGCAGCATGACAAAACATGACCGCTCGCTGCGGACTGACTCAGTCCTTGTGCGCATCTGTGTGTGCAGCGACGCCGTTCGCCGACAGGAGTCTTTGGGTCATTCGTCGGTACCCCGAGGACTGGCGTGTGGTGAAGGTGCAGGACGGCCGGCAGGAGATACTCCTGGAGACCCCAGACAAACCCGACGAAGAGTAGGGAAGAAGGACCCAGCTGGCCACACCCATCCACTCATCCATGGTATGGTTTGTGTGGTGCGTCTTGTTGCAGTGCGGTGGAGAGATTGGTGATGGCCGTGGCAAGATGAAGGAATGGCATCGCTGAGTCATCTGTCGCGTGTGTGTCGTGTGTCATGTGTATGTGTGTGAGTTAATATCAGCGAATGGCTGATAATAAGACGATTCTTTCACTGTTGTCCCCTCGTCTTTGCAGGGTTTTATGACCCTAGCAACCCTAAAACCCAAACCCTCCTTTTGACCCCAGAATCGCATACGCCAAAAAAAATTGCATCACACAGCCAAACCAACGCCGCAGAGAATAAGCCGCGATTTTGTCAAGATGAAGGCCGTGTTCGTCGGTTTCTTCGTCCTCCTCGTGCTCGCAGCGGCTCAGGACACGTCCGGTGAGCATGACGGACAGACGAGGACAGATCTCCGCCATACGCATCCCTCCTCCCTCCTCTCACCGCTCTCCTGCTCCGTGCGTGCGTGTGTGGCTGTCAGACCTGCCCACGGTCTTTCCTGTTGACGAGGAGGTGCCGTTCACCCCAGAGAGTGTCGAGCCCATCCACGCTGGCCCTCTGGACCGTGATCCCTCCCACACTGGACCCCTCTTGTAAGCGGAAGGGAGGTCAGGAGCACACCGAGATCGCCTGACCATGTGCACACGTTTCCTCTGTGTGCGCGTGTGTGTTGTCTTGATATCTCAGCGTTCCTTCCGACAGCGAGAGCGACTTCATGGGTCTGTTGGCTGCGCAGGACTGGATCTCTCGTCCTCTCCCCGCCCCTGCAGGCGCCGTGTCGCCCCAGGGCAGGGCCGATGACGAGGGCGAGCAGAACGTCCTCCCCCCTCCTGAGAACACCCGCCCAGCCTACAGGCCGCCGAGGTACTCCCCGCCGACCCCGACCTACGAGCGTCCGACCTACGAGCAGCCGTCCTACGAGCAGCCCGAGCCGTCTCGCCCGTGGTGGTGGTTTGGCGGCTATGGCGGCTATGGCGGATATGGCCGATAGATAGATGGGTGGATGGATGGAGACTGAGCTGGAGGAGGGCGGGAGCCGTTTGCATATTAACGTGAGTGAGTTTGTGTGTGGCTGGTTTAGTGTAATGGTTTATGGTGTGGGGGAGTAGGTTTGCGCGCCTCTTTTTGGTCCACATATATATGTGTGTGTCATCCGTCATTTGTTGTGGTGTAGTGTGGTGTGATGTGCGTGGGTGGTTTCGTGGGCTGCGCTGCATCACGTGTGTATGAGTGACTTGACTTGGCTGTTGTGCGCTGCCGTGTTCCACTGCCTGCGTAGTAGTGTTGGGTGTTAGTTTCTCCATGGACACCGATAGCTGCCATCGCACCAGTGACTCATGAGCATGAAGGCATCCATCCCCGTCCCCCACTTGATGTGTGAAGATCTCTCCAGACACATGGACCCACACGCAAAGCACACATACACACACAGAGGGCGGAGTGTCATCCTCGCGCCAAGATTGCAGAATCACTCAGCCACACATTGATGTATACCACCCACGCACCCACCCACACACACGCCAGGCAGCTGGCAGTACCCCCCCTCTGTACAAGCCGTCTTCTCCTCACCCCCTCATGGCTACCTAACCACCCTGTCGTATCCATCCACCATGACGAGCTAAGTCTCACGCTTGGCGGTCAGCGTGTGACCAAAGTTAGGCCGATAAGGCCATTGGGTGATGGTAAACGCCACGCCGCCGACAGTCACGGAGGCGGGCAGGTCATGTATGTGCACTGACCTCTTCATCTGCAGCTGCCGCAGACCTCTCAGCTGCAGCAGCGATGACAGGTAGCCCAGCACGGTCTCACGTACCTCAGCTTCGCGACCTGGCGGAACTGCAGCACCACAAGCAGACAAGTAGGCAGTCAACCAGCTCTCTTTTGGACTCAAATTGGTTGTTCATCGTGTCTTTGCTTACATGTGGGATTGAACTCAAATTCGCCGATGGTCGGCAGGTCCGCCGCCGCCCCGACCAGCTGAGCGATGGCGCTCTCACCCAGACGCATCGGCCGTCGATACCGTGGGGCTGTGCCTATCGTCACCGTCCCCACCTCCCGCCCACTGCCCAGCGCCTGCAGGGCGCCGACCGCCTCAGCTGCCTCCATTCCCTCGATCTCCACCGAGTTGAGCTGTTTGGGAAGCTTGTCTGCCAGTAGCCGCCCCGCAGCACCGCCCACACGGCCAGAGAGCATCAGCCTCTTGGCCTTGGGGAAGGGCTGCATGAATGCGGTGAGTGAGGGGCGGGGGATGGGAGGTGCCGGGGGATAGGATGTGAACATCCAGAAGTCGTGATCCAAATTGCTTGTGAACGACACCGTCTCGGCGTTGTCGAAGGACAGCTGCGTGGCCCAGTCGATCGCCGATTGGCTGTAGCTGGGGGAAGGGTTGCTGATGGGCTCCTCGAACTCGCTGATGGGCTCCTTGAACTCGAAACGCACCTTGTCTGCCTGCCGGGCCAGCTGCTTCATGACCGTGGTGAAGAGGGGAGTCGGGTCGGTGGGGAAATCGTCACGGCAGACGATCATCGGGTCGAAGGATAATGTGCGCGTCTGGGAGGGCTCGGTGCCCCTCTCCCAGGTCTCCCGCTTGGTGCACGTGACTGGAATGTCGGGCGACTCACAGCACGCGGCTACAAATCCCTCCAGGGCAGACAGGTCGGCTATGGTATCGCTGTATCTGGTCACACCGTAGTCGATAGGCAAGCGGATCTCGAGCTCCTTGATGCTCTTCTGGCAGCCACGTGCTGTCAGTGTCTCCTGCATGAAAGACAAAGACGACACGATGTGTGTGAGGCAGGCAGACAGACAGACTTATGCTCTTCTGGTGTTACTCTACCTTAGCTTGTCGATGGTGCCGAACTGGAGGAAGACCAGGACGGGGTGCAAAAACACGGGGACGGGGCCGATGGCCTCAAGGTGGCTCAGTGGCCCTGGCTGCTGTCCAGTGGCCACAGGCATGCCCTCAAAGACCTTCTCCCACCGAGGCTCGTCCCGCCGTCCCGTTCCCCCCGCATCGATGCTTCCCCTCACACGGCGCAGAGACCGGGACGAGACCACAAGCCGCCCGAGTCTGTGCGGCTGCCATCCGCCCTGCCCCACCCAAGCCAGAGAGGGCATCTCCCATCCTCTCTCGGCCAGCGACTGATGGACGGGCTTCAGTCCAGAGATGGATGTCAGGGCGTCAAGGGTGGGCCGCGCGACGAGGGGCGGGGGCCGCTCTGGAGTGGTCCGGTCGAGGGCGTCCAGCTCCTCACATGTCAGCTGCACGTCGTGGAAGATCCTGATGCTCGTGAGTGTCCCTCGTTGCAAGGCCGCGGCCCGTCGCGCCTCTGCGTGCCCTTCAACGATCGTCACCATGACCTCGAAGCACCAGCCAGCTCCCCGGCCCACCGCCGCAGCCGCGAGCTGGGCCGGGCAGCGGAGGGTGATGGCCGTCAGCCGTGCGAGCCACGCTGCCAGCTGCTGGATGAGGGCGAGGGGCAGCCGCTTCCAGAAGGACCGCTCATCTGGCGTCGCCGCACTGATGGTGAGGTGGCGGTGCTGAGGGACGCCGTCCTGCCGTGCGTGTGACGACAGCCGCATGAGCAGGTGGATCGGGAGGAAGGCCACGATGCAGTCCACCAGACCAGGCTGCACACACAGAACATGGCAACCATCGTTATGCCTTCACCAGCGGCATTTCTCTTGGCCATGCTCACCGTGCCGACGACTGCTGTGAAAGGAGCCATGCTGACATCTTCTCTGCTGGCTCCGGGGCGACGCGGCCGGCATCCCGACGGCTGGCGACTAGTGTCAGAGTGCATCAGGAGCGCCACTCGCCGCCCTGCGAAACAGCCGAACAGAACTCATCCAAAAGATGCGCTGTCCTTCTTGTTGCGCCTTCCTGTCCGCACCTCGTCAGGTAGTCGTATCGCTAATCCAATGGCGCTAATCCATCGGGAAGGCTCCTGCGTCCACCACTGGCATACGAGAGGAACCGCTAGGCGCAAACAAACTCTCCTCGACCCGAATGAGTTTCGTTTTCTCGCCGAGGGACAGCCTGGCGCTTTGCGATGATATGTGCGCTGCTCGTTAAGCCTCTTCACGTCGGCTCTAGTGACTCTTGCCGCCAGTCGCAGTGACCGACACGTCGGCACCTCACAAAGACTTGCCTGCTTGTAGCTCGCTCCCCTCCTCGCGATTTCATCGAAAAGAAGCATGTTTTCGATGACATCGTCTGCGCCTGGCGCTGCCGGGCCATCGCCGCCGCTGATGGTTTATGATCCGCACTTGATTAAACCCATCCCGACCCCACATTCAACAATGCCTGACTACTCTCTCTCTCTCTCAACGGCGCCGCAGCACCACCGACAACGACTCCGCTGCGGTCAGCCATTGCCACCCACGAGCTGCACCCGCCCGCCCGCCAGAAGCCCCCTGGTTTAAAGGCGCCGGAGGCTCGTGGTGACCAAAGCGAACTGACCTCGTTTGGCAAGTTGATGGCCTCTTGCGGCTTCGAGAAGTGCCCGCTCCACTACCTGCAGGGCGGCACCACCTGGTGCCGCAAGACGCAGGGCGGGCCTTCATCGGCCAACAAGGGCCACACTGCCGGCGGGTCGGTCGCTCGACAAGGGCTGGGAATGGCGAGTCCGTGGCAACACGGTCAGGGCTCGCCGCCCGCCGCCCACACGGGGGAGTCACTGGCAGCCACAGCGCCTCAGCCAGCCCCCTACAGCAGCACCAACAGGCCGCCAATCTACTGCCGCTATCCGCCATCAAGGGCGGCCTTTCAGCACCAGCAGCGCGCCGAGCCCACCGCAGCACCCAGGACGACTTATCGTCCAAATATCGCGCGGCTGACTGGGAATGAAATGCGTCGAGCTGAGCCACATCGTGG